GTGAGATGAATTCCAAACGTGTTCCTCTCGCTCCCAAGAAGAGCTGGGAGACCGTGTGTCCCTTCCCCTGATCCATGAAGCTTAGAGCATCCCTGAAAAGCGTACCCACTTCTTAACCTGCTCACCCCTCAAATTATATGCGTATAGGCACACATATGTGTGCACACACCTGCACATACTGGGGCTGAGAGTCTAACGAGCCGCTGGCACGAACTGCCAGGCGCCCGTCTGTGACAAGGAGTCACGCGTCCTCTGGGTTCGTTCACGGGGTAACGTGACAGCCAATTCTAATTTCCAATATTTTTTGGAGAATACACAACCTCCCTCGATTCAATCTGGTTAAGTTCTGGGTCGCTTAGCCAAGCAACAGAAACTGCATTTCGTTCCAGCGAGGAGACACACCATTCTCGTCTGGAAAACGGACTCAACTCCCAGGCTCGGCCCAGGCGCCCAGGGAGGCGCACGGCAGGGCCCGCAGGCCAGGACAGCGCTTCCCTGGACCCGCCGCTGACAGGGACCCGCGGCTCACACGCGAGCCCGTCCTCCGGGGTCCCGCCCCCCGAGCCATGCCAGCCACATGTCTGAGCGTCTCTCGCCTGTTGCCTGGCTCGTGGCCAGAGGGCGGTCAGCAGAGGGCACAACCCCTGCGCACTGTGCGGCGGGGCGGGGGGTCCTCACGCCCCACTGCCGGCTCCCCTGCGCCCAGAAAAGGGAGGTGCCCGGTCGGGGCCGGGGCCCCGCGCCCTGGGAGGCAGACGCGGCAGAGCAGGCCCTGCTGTCTGAGCCCACAGGGCGGGGGCGGAAGCGCTCCCCCCGGGGCCACGGTCCCTGTCACCGCCGTGTTTTCGGAAGGTGCGGGGCACCTCGGACGCACGGCGTTGCCCCATTCGGAGCGAACGGGAAGAGGGGAAAAGGGCGCTGCTGAGGGTGTCGGCGGCTTCTCCTGGTGAGGAAATCCCCAGCTCCAGAGACCGGAAGGCAGGCGGTGGTCCCGTCTCGGGGGAGAGCCGGGAGGGGGCGGGGGCTCTGGGGACACACTCTCGGCCGCAATGCAGCGGGAGCCCCCTTTCCATCTGATGTGTTGGGGTCCCATTCCCCTCCCCCACAGGACCCCATATCAGGGCGGGCGGCGAGCGTGGAGGGCCTGCGTTCCTGGATTCAGAGTCTGTGTGGACCTGCCTGCTATCCTGAGCGAGTTCAATGCCTGACTCTCCTCCCGCCCCCGCCCCCCCTGACGCCCAGTGCCCGGGGCACAGAGCACAGTCGCCTGAGGACACCGTTTGGCCCCCAGGGTGGGGCCCAGCCCCCAGGTGCCTGAGACCCTGAAGTCCCCGGACGTGCCCTGTCACACCCCTGGCCTCGAGGAGACGTTGCTCTTCCTCCCGACAGCCACGGCAGCCAGAACAAGACGACCCTGCCGTGCATCCTGGGGGGACCCCGCGCCCCGCCCGCCGCAGCTGCACGGGGACGGGGTGCCGGGGGCCGCGGGGACGCAGACCGCGGCGTCGGGCGGGGCGGGGCTGCTCTCCTCCAGGCGGGGAGGTGCCCTTTGGTGGCAGGGCCGCACCCACCTGGCTCCTTCTCTGACAGGGGACCACGGGGACTGAGAGGGACATCCGTCGCTGCCTGGCAGGAAGGCCGTCCCCTCTGAGGAGCCCCAGTCCAGCCAGGCCGTAGTGCAATCGTCACTGGATTTATAACCTTTTCCATTGATTACACGTTGGGCGTGCGTGTGCTCACCCAGCGATTATTTTTTCCCCTCTCTGTTTATTACCGGATAAGCAAAAGAGATGCTACGGGTGGAACGCTCTTGCACTCCATCAGCTCGCGTTTGTCAGCCCGATCAATAACTTACAGCTCGGGGCCAAATAAAAAGAGGGGAGTTTTCGAGTTTTTATAGACTATCAAACTCCAAACTGTCAACAGCTCCTGATAGGAATCTATTTCCATTTCCACTTCTTCGGAGCCGCTTAGCTTCCAAACCGCCGCACTCAGGGGAAAAACGGAGCGCGAGGGCCTGGGGATGGGACGCAGTGTGAACAGCGCGGGAACCTGACCGACCGGGAGTCGCGGCCGCCGGGAGGGCGGGACGCCCACCTCGCTCGTCCGCAGACAGCGCTCCCGTCCCCGGTGCCTCCGCACGGCTGTGTCATCCGCCGTGAGCGATGCGCCGAGGGACGCGGGGGCCGGGAGCTTGCCCCTCCCCACCTCAGAACCCCCGCCCCCCCGAAATGTATCAGAGACAAGCGCCCCGCTTTCCCCATGGCACAACTTGTTTTAAACCAGCCAAATAGCTACCTTCATGCCATGGGGATGCCCACGCTGAGAGGGACCGACCGCGGGCTGCGCGGCTGGACCTGCCCGGGGACCCTCAGCCCGCGCGCAGGGCCGGGAGAGCACAGAGGAAGCCTGGGAGCCCGAAACGCGGCCTGCGCTCCGCTGGGAGGCGCGGCCGGAGAACGCGCAGTGTCCCTGGTCAGAGGGCAGATGGGACGCCAACTGCCGCACACAAAAGCCTTCCCTTTGTGCACTCTGTTCCGCAGGCACACGCGGAAGAGTGTTCCAGGCCTGATGCCACGTCTCGTCTGTCTGACGCCGCAGCCTGGAATCCTGGGAAGCAGGAAGGACGAGGGTCCCCATTCCCTCCTCACAATGAGTGAGTCTGAGTTTCAGACGTGCTGCCATCGGCCCCAAGCGTGCCAGACGCCGCCCCGTGTCCGGAGGAAGCCAGGAGCGGACGCGAGGCGGCGCACGGCCGGCGGGAGCTGCGCCCACCTCCTCCCGGTCCAAACTGGAATCGACGACAACACAGAGCCGGGACATCCCTCCGAACCCCGCGGCTCCGCAGGGAGGTTTGGGGCGAAGGGGTGGCCGCGACCACCGTCTCTGCAGGGGCCGCCCCTGTTCCCACTTGCCACAAGGTCAGGGGGTCCAGAGGGTGGGAGCTGCTGACACCGTGGCGGTGACAGAAGGCATCGAGGAGAGGAGGCAGGAAGGGGACTGGATGGATCGGCTCCGTCTCTCCTGGGCCGCCTGCTGGAGGGGCCGGTGTGCGTCCTGGGCCTGAGCGGAGGAGCGTGAGCGGCCGCGCGCGTCCGGCCCTGAGGCCCCACCGTGGAGCTGGGAGGAGCTTGTGTGTCCGCGGCAGCCAAGAGCCTGTGCCCCTGCACCCAGCGCAGCCTCGACCCCGCTGCCTCTTGGGTTCAGGAAATAAGGGATCGTTCTCTCCACCAGCCTCGCTCCCCACTGTGCTGCTTCGGCCACTCGTCGCAAAAAGAGCCGCAACAGGAAGACAAGGGGCACCTTAGGGAAGGCTAAAAAAATAAATAAAAAACACCCTGTTGGGGGGCAATCCGTGGATGTTTCTGTAAACAGCCGGTGTGGTGCTGCTCACATGCGGCTGAGATTGCGGCTCTGGATCAGGCGTGCGGTCGGCGCGGCCGCAGCGTGTCCGCCTGTGAGTCACGTCCCCGCGTGGCCGGCAGGCCCATCCCTGCAAATCTCCGCGGGGCGGCTCCGCCTCAGCCCCCGGGTGCGGCTGGGGGGCAGGCGCCTGTTCATGGGAGAAAGCAACACGGCGGGGAGGTGCGTGGGCCCGGCAGGCGTGTGATCGTCGCGGAGCCTGCGTGGCCGTGCGGGTGGCCGACGGCGCGGAGCCGCCCCCGGGGCCGCATTGGTTTCTTGCGCGCTAACCCTCTGCCTCGCCTCTCCTCTGTTCGCGCCTTGAACTCGGAAACACATCCTGCTCACCCTTTCCTGGGGGACGGATGAGGATGGCGGGTCGTGGCTGATCCCTGCGCCTACAAACAGCGCTTTTCCAGGTCTCAGCACGCGGGTGGGTTTTATGTACTTTTAACAAAAGCCAGTCATGCTACATGCATTGCGAACCACATTTGTCTTCACGTCAAAGGTGTATCGTGGACAACTCTACCTTTTTATCCCCAAATATCCATACACACCTGCAACTTTCCATACTACAGGCGCCGCGTTTTCCCTGCATTTTTTCACTTGCGTCCTCTCTGCCGCGTGGGCCCCGCCCACGGACGCCCACTGTCCCCCCGTCTGTCATGCACACGCACCCCGCTCGGCCGGGACACTCGCAGCCACCAGGGGTGTGTTCGCCCGCAACGTTCTCCGCTCCCCTAGGCTTATGCCCTGCGGTGTCCCCACCTGCGCAGGTGTATCCGTTAGCAGAGCCCTTGTTTAAAGCACCTTCGGTCTCTATTTCCTCTACAAAAACGGGGCTCCCCTGCCCCCGTTTCCCTGCACCTCGTTCACTCTGCAGTGTTCTGTGGCTCTCCCGCTGGGCCCACGGGCAGCGGTCGAAGGCGCGTGAAGGCTGTGTGGCGTCACAAGGCGCGCCTGCCCTTCCCGCGCCACCTGGTCAAGGCCGCGATGTCCAGCTGGGGACACGAGGCGGCCCCTGGGCGCGACACGCCCCTTGGAAACACGGCGTGGTGAGCACCCCCCCCCCCAGCGTGTAGGACAAGGACCGTTTTCTCGAGGGGGGGCCGGGCGGACAGCGGGGTCGGGGGCTGGCGGCAGCCAGCCTGCCCGGCGTCGGGCCGGGCGGGACATATCGGGCCATCGCGAGGCGAGCTGTGTGGCATCTGACCGCTGGGGTGTGCCCCTGAAACTAACGTCCCACTGTGTGGCAGCCACGATTAAAAAATAAAAAAGGATTAAAAAAGAGCGCGCCGTCTGCACGTTGGGTTTTCCTGGAGAGGCTTCGGATCCGCGACCGACAGTCGCTCGGGGGCCTCCGTCTGCTCAGGCGCCCGGCGTCCCGGGGCGGCTGTTCTGGGGGTGCCTCGTGGGCCGGGCCCGGCACCCCATCACCAAGCCCACAGGGGTCCAGCTTCGGAGGGACCTGTCCAGAGGGTGGACCCCCCCCCACCCCCGCCCGCCAGGCTCCTCTGGCTGTGAGCCTGCGTGATGATCGCAGTTAAACAGCTGAGGAAGTGCATGCAGTTTGAATGACTCGGCGCAGGAGAACCACGGCAAGTTGCCCTTACAGGTTTATTGTTCGGAAGCACGAGGACACAGAGCGACCGGGTTACATGGGCCAGGGAGGCCCCACCAGGACCCTGCCGAGGACAGGGCGCTGCGCGGGGCCCCTGCCTTTCCGCTCACAGACCCACGCGCGCACTGACCCGACGCCCAAGCCACAGGCGGCGCAGGGACCCCCGCGGCCACGCCTGGCGGGCGCCGCGCTCAGGGCGCCGCGGGGGCAGAGGCAGCGGAGCCGGCGGCCGGGGGGATGCGCTTGGGCGCCGCCTGCTGGGCCGGCTCCAGGTCCGGGATCTTCTCGCCGTGCTTGTACACGCTGACCGTGACGTCGATCTTCTCGCCCCCGTACTTGTTCTTGACGTTGATGCTGTACTTGCCCGAGTCCTCTGCGGTCACGCCCTTGATGGACATGCTGACGTACTTGGCCTGCTCCACCTTCACGGAGAAGTGCTCGTTCAGCTCGATGTCCTTGTCGTTCTTGAACCACACGACCTCAGGGTCGGGGTTGCCAAACACCGTGCAGGTCAGGTTCAAGGTCTGCGGGAGGGGAAGGGACAGTGAGAAAGACCGAGGTCAGGCTGCTCCGCACAGCGCTGGCCCGCTGTCACGCTCGGTGGCCCCGCCGGTCCCTCGCATCCCTCCGGAGTCAGCACGGTCTTCACGTGCGGAAGCCCCGGGCAAGACGCAGGGACCTCAGAGAGCAGGACGCAAGCCGGGGCGGCCTCCCCCACGGCTCCCGGCAAAACCAAGGTGACTCTTCCATTCGTTCTCAGCTGTAACCCACGGCCGAGGCCAGTTAGAGACTCTGAAGGGAATCAACTCCGCATCTTACAGCAGGTATTTTTAGCCCATTTCTCAGTTTCCCTCATGTCCGACGTGGGGAGCGGCCAGCAAACCCAGAGGACGCACCGACTTAGGGCGAGCCAGCGCGGCACCCTGGGGACACAGTCCAACCCGCTCTCGCCCGTAACCAAGTCAGGCCACCGCGGGTTTCTCAGTGACGTCTGTGTCACGAGCCTGCGACCCATCAGCCTCGGCACTGGGCCCTCCCCAGCTGCCAAACCAAAGGTCTACGGACGTCGGCAGTTCAGCTAACCAAGCTCCCTCAGCCCTTCCTCCCACGACATCGCGCGAGACCCCGAGGCGTGCGCATTCGGTATCAGCAACCCCACCGACAGGGGACAAGTTAAGAACTCGAGTAACAGTTTCCAGGGTCTATTCCAAAGTGGCCCCGGATCTCGGAGAGAGACTTCTTTTTAATTTCACACTGGAAGGGGACGCCGTGTCCTGTGGGTGTGGGCTCTGTCCTCGGTCAGTCATTTCCCTGACCCGCCCCAGGACCAGGGACAACAGACCCCGGCGGATGCGCCCGCTGTCCCACGCCTGCTGCCTGCTGCCTGCATCACGCAGTGGGTCCCCGGCTCGTTCAAGTGTGGTCGCGGGTTCAGAAGATCAAACACAAGGGTTACCAAAGGCAGCGGGACAGCCGGGCGCGGCTGGGCGCCCGAGTCCCCGGGGGTGAGTGGCACCCCACGCTCCGGGCCCCTCGCTGGGGGCTGAGCGCCCGCCGAGCCCACCCGCCCCAGTGTCCCGCAGCCTGTCCGTACCTTGCCTTCCATTATGGTCACCACGTCAGGCAAACCGCCGATCACCTTCCCGCGATCTGCAACGGGGCGGGGGCTCCGCTGAGCGCAGCTGCCAGGAGGACGCAGCGCAGGCCCCGGGAGCGCTGTGGGCGGGGCACTGTGCCCCTGTGCACGGGGCGGGGGCGGGGCCGTGCGAGCCACTCCCGAGGGGCAACCAGCGGCTGTGATTCGGCGGGAAAGGGAAGGGGGCGTGGGGCCTGGGCGCCGAGGGGAGCGAGGGCGGGTGGCGGCAGACACTGCTTTTACCTCCTGCAGGTCATGACGTCCGCGGTCTCCCCACCCCCGGCTGGAGGGGCAGGGCCGTCCGCGTCCGGAGCCACCCCCCACCCGGGGGCACCCCAGCACCGCCCCGCATGCCGCCAGGACCCGCAAGCGCCCGAAACGCTGTGATCTCGGCCTCGCCCGTGTCTCCTGCGGCCGCACCTGACCGGCCTCCTGGTCCAACAGCCCAGAACCGGAGGGCGAGGGCAGGAGGGACCGGGGCGGCCGGAGGGGCAGCCACGGGGGCTGGGGGTGGGTGCGGAGGCGCCGGACCGGCCGACCGCGTGGTGTTAGTGTCCCACAGGCACCGTGAGTGCCCTGAGGGGCCCCCCCACCCCAAGTAACGGGCGGCGCGCGTTACATCCACCGGGTACTTACTCTTCTCCGCAAACGCGGCCGCCCTGGAATCGCAGGGGCAGAGGGGAGAGAACAGAGAGAGAGTGATGAGAAAACCGCAGGAGGCAGCGCGTCCCGTGTCCCGGCTCCCGTGTCCCCAGGGCAGAGACCGGCTGGGGGTGGGGGGAGGAAACGCCCGCCTCCTCGCTCGCTGGGTGGCGTTCCTGCGAATCCCCCACGTCCCCACGGCCCGTTCTGAGGGGGGGGACCCTGTCTTTCGGCCACTAAGCCCCACAGAGGAGTTCAGCGTTCAGGCTCAGAGGCTGGAGAGTTCTGTTTTGTTTTTTCCCTAAATTCACCACATTGCCCTGGAGAACTTCAGAGAGTTTTCAAAACGCTGGTTTCTGATGCATCCGCTTAGATCCTCATTGAACGGCGTCGCGCGGGCCAACGACCGCTCTGTTTCGGGTGCTCTCACCTTCAGACACACACTCGAAACCCGAAGCTTTTTCTCAAAGCTGCTCTGAACCCTGGACTATTCATTACTCAGCACTAAGGAGAACAGGCTCTCGGGCCCCGGAAGACGCGCAGGCGCCTGTGAGAGGCATGTGACCGAGGGAAAGGGCCACCCTGGGAGGCCGCGGGCTGTGAGCCCAGCCCCGAGACCTCCCGGAGGGGGCGAGGCCAGGGGCGCGGTGACAGCTCAGGGGCTGCGGGGGGGCCCCGAGGGTGTGAGCCCAGGGAATCTGCCCGGGGAGATGCTGAAACCACGGACACACGTCGTCGGGCATTTGTCCAAACCCGCAGAACGCCCGGCACCCGGAGCGACCCCCATGCGAACTGCGGACTCTGGTGGCGCTGACGCGTCCGTGGTGACACGTGCCCCATCGGGTGGGGCCGCTGACGGGGGCGGGGGCCGTGCGTGCGGGTGTGGGGCGCACAGGGGCAACCTCTGTGCCTTCCTCTCCGTTTGGCTGGGAAACGGAAAACGTTCTTTGAAAATGAAGTCAAACAGAACCTAAGTATGTAACTTTCTAAAAAACTGCTCTCTGCGACGTGTTGCCACAGTTGCAACTGTTTCAGAAATTCATCACCTCAGTCGCTTGACCCTCCTGGGGTTATCGCGACCCCAGAGCGCGAACGTGCAGACGCACCGCAGCCGAGAGGAAAGGCCGCCCTGCTGCCCACAGAATCGCTTCAGTCGCCACGTCTGTCCCCGGTCCCAGGACACGACACGCCCTGGGTCACCGAGGCGTCCAGAGACGTCCCCAGGCGCAGCCTCCACGACTCCCAAGGCGACGGAACCCCCCCCCCCCGAAGCTGGAACGACACCCCGCGTGCGGCTCTTACTTGAGTTGCTGGAACTCCGTGAAGGCGTCGTCGAACGCTGAAAGGGAACGTTCCGGGTCAGGGGCAGCGACGGCACGTCCGCTCCCCACCAGGGCCGCACGCACCTGCCCGACGAGGCCCGACACCCGGACGGCGCTGGGGACGGTCGCGGCTGTTTCTCCCAGGGAAACCCCAGCCCCGGCCCCCCTCCCGCGTCCCCAACGGGGGGCCCGGCTCCCGGGCGCAGGGGCGGCCTCTGACCTTGGCCGGACAGGTCCAGGGAGCGCTGGTGGTTGTCTTTGCCGTCGAAAATCTCGAAGGTGTACTTGCCCTTGTCCTTCTCCGTGGGCTCGCAGATCTGCAGCCAGGCCATCTCCTCGCTCCCTCCGATCCTCATGTGCTCGCTGGACGAAATCTTAGCGTCTCTTGGAAAACGAAAAGCAACAGGGACGTGTCGGAGCTCGGAACCGCAGCTACACACGCAGCGCCGGGCGCGCGGGGAGCCTCGTCGGACCCGCCGGCTTCCGCCGCGCAGGCTCTTCTGGGCCTTAGCAACGAGGTAACTGCATTGGGAGCTCAGACGGGAGGCCTCCTGAAGTCCAACGCGATACTCGGTTTATAAAGACATCCTGCTTTTTAACACATGCTTGTTGGCCACCCCATAATGGATTTTAAAATACTCTACACCGCATGGCATTCTTTTCGTCAAGAAATATTTTTAATAACATATAATCTAGCAATAGCACTTCCGGGCAGAAACCCCAAAGAACTGAAGCAGAGACTCGCAGAGACACGCGTGCGCCCAGCAGCCAGCAGGTGGCAGCACCGCCCACGCCTGCAGGCGGACAAGGCGGCCCTTCCTCGTTCAGAGGGCATCGCTGGGCCTTCGGAGGGAGCAGCACAGCGAGGACGCGCGCAGCGGCCTGGGGCCAGCAGGGCCGCCACCCCGACTACCTGGGAGCCCATCCCTCCATGCGACCCACTGAGGACACGCACACGGGGGGATGTGGCTGGCGTCTCCGGCACTCAGCTCCGCCCTGAGGTTTCAGGGGACCTCGCGGAGAGGTCGCCCCAAGCTGGGGACACAAGCGCCAACCGCGAGGCCGGCAGGGGGCCGGCAGGGGCCGGCAGAGCGCGGTCCTAAGGCCTGCCTGTCCTGGCTGAGCCATCAGCCGAGTTCCAGGCGCTACGCGTTATCCGTGGGGAACGGGTATCTGTTTGGCCCTTGTCCAAGGAGTTGGTCTCTGGCCCCGCTGGGTGTTCCCGACCCTGTCGCCCCCCGGCCCCCCGACCCCGGCCAGGGTCGCCCCCCATTTTCAGGAGGACAGAGCCCGGCAGGCGTGGGCCCCGCCCGTGGCCGCGGCACTCACTTGTGATACCAGCTCACGCGCATCTCCTCGGTGAAATACTTCAGGAAACACTGCAGCCTGATGCCTTCGGGCGTGCAGAGCACCTTCAGCGGCGAGGCGGACGCGCCTGCAGGGAACGGGGCACCCTCAGCCCTGCGACCGCCCCCGCGCCGGCGGAAAGGGGCGCCCGGCGGGGTCTCCTCGGAGCCTCCACAGACACCAGCGCCCCGGCCCGCGCACCTCGTCGGCTCTGGCTCAGGGGACACCCCGCACGTCACAGCCCCCGGACCTGCGTCTCGGTCGCGCGTCAGCGCAGTGAGTGCGGAGACGTGGCCAGCGCGTTCGCGGCCCCGGACGCGCGACGTGGGAGCCACGCTCTGACACACATGCTGACGGAAGACTGAAGAGCCTTCAGAACCACCGCTGGGCCGGCAGGGAGCCGCTTCCCAGGCCCCAGCGGGACGGCCCCTCGAGCCCCGCGCCGCTGCCCGCCCGCCCGCCCCCCGGGGCGGCTGGAAGTCCGAAGGCGTTCACTTACCGCAGACTCTGCTCATTGCCAAGATCATGTCCTCGTACACTAAGGGGAAAGCAGACACAGCGTCACTGCGTGTCACCTCGTCAGGACGCAGCACTTCCGCGTTTGATTGAACGGGCACAGGAAATCACGGCGCTCGTTTGAAAAACGAAGCATTAAAACGGCGGCCTTTCTCCGGAAGAGGCTGACGTGTGCGATCAACCCTTCCAACCCATTCACGTTTTACACGAAGAGCAAGGACGCTTCACGCGCCATAAACCCCCCGTCACTGCATCCCTGCGTCGCAGCGTCGAGCGCGTCGACCACGTCAGAGGTGGGAAACACGTGGCCGACGACGACAGACTAGAACGACGTTCAGAGAAGCCCGGGCTCAGAGCGCACACTTTCCTGAAACGCTGGAAGGCTCCGGGCGCGGCGCGAGCACGAACCCGTTCTCCTCCGCCGTCGCTGCTGACAAGCAGGGCGCTCTACAGCCCGGGGCGCAGGGGACAGCGCCGCCAACACGCCCCCTCCTGTCCATGAAACGCACCCCTCGGCGGCGCGGCGGGGCGGGGGCCGCGTTACCTTTGCCGGCTATCTCGAGGACAGACACGTCCTGGCCTCTGTCGTCTTTCAAGGTGGCCTTGTATTCGCCGTGGTCCTTCTTGGACAACTACAAAGAAGCCCGATCCGTGTGTGGGTCAAAGCTTTGTGACTGTATGAACTGGGACGCGTGCACGCATGTTTTCCTGGCAGGCCACGGACACGCGGGCCGCGGGCTGGGAGGCGGCGCAGCACTGGTGAGCCCCACGCGGGGCCACCGTGGGCTCGGGCCCGTGGGGGCAGCGTGCGGGGCGGGGCGGGGCGTGCGGGGCGGGGCGGGCGGTACCTTGGGGATGAGCAGCTCGCAGGTGCCCCTCTCCAGGTCGGGCACATTCTCAGTCTCATACAGGGCGTCGTCCTTGAACCATTTGAAAACTGTCTCTCTCTTGGTGTTTGCGACCTAGAAGACAGACACCGGACGCCTGGAGTGGGAATCGCCCAGCGCATAAGAAAAGCAGCCTCTTCTCACATTAAATCACAGCCCTTTAAAAGCATCAATTTTCATCACAGACACGCCCAGACAGAGGCTCGTGGGAAGGCTGTCGGCCGTGACAGCCGCGAACCCGTGTCGAAGTTCCGGCGTCTTCGACAGCTACGCTCTCACGTCCACGCGAGGAAGCACGCCTCGCAGTTCCGGCCCATGGAACCGGGCGGGCCCGTCGGTGCGTTGGAACGTCAGTAATAAAAAAGCTGTGAGCGAAGTCCCTTTAAAATTTAAAGGCAACATAAAACATTCTCAGAGGCTCATAACAGGGTTTGGGGGTTGCCTTCTCGTCCGTGTGACATTTCAGGTGCGTCCGCGTAGAGAGAAAGACGCCTCCACCCCAGCCCAGTGGGCTGAGCGCTCCCTTCCCGCAGGAATCTCTGGCGTCAGCCTGAACTTGAAGCCGAGCTTCACGGAACTGCAAAGACGGGGGCACTTCAGGTCCCGTGCCCCGAGGCACACGTCCGACAGAGGGGGAGACATTCCGGTTCCGTATGAGCGGGTGGCACGGACCACACCGGATTCTGCGGGACCCACGATCCGGCAGCCCCATCCCACGTGGACTCAACAAAGAGGACAAAAACGCAGGACGACCCCTAGGCCCCGCGACGAGGATCTCCGTGTGGCTCCGCCCGTGCCTCCGCGCGTGCAGTCAGGGACAGCAGGGGCGCGCGACCCCCAGACGGGCGGATTCCGCGCCCCAGAGGCAGGGGAGCCCGCCCGCGAGCGTGGGGGCGTCCCTACACGGGGCGCCCCGCTGGCCTGGCAGCCGGAGCTCCCGCCGAACGCCGCGGCCTGCGCTGGCGCTGGACGGCTGCTGGACAATTCTGGCCGCGAGGCCGCGAGCCCGCGTTCAGAGCCTCCCCGCGCGTGCGCGTGACCCAGCCTCCGCCGGCCCCGCCCGCAGCTCCGCCCACTGGCTCCCCGGCCCCGGAAGGCGCCTTCCCAAGGGCCCTCACTTCCGTTCTCCGGAGCGCATGTCCTCGGTTAACTTGTCCGTCCTGTGGGGGGGCCTCACGCCCCTGATGAGCCACCTGTCCCTTCTGTGACTCCGCGACGCCGCGCCCCCTCCCTTCACCTGTGGGCACCTGGCGGGGCGCCCGTGTGCAGGGGACAAGCTCGGCCCCGAGACGCCCAGGGCGCACGCCTGACCCGACCCCCGCGCACGCGCCGGGCGAGAGGCCCCCGCGGGGTGTTCACCACCGAGGAGCCGGCCCTCCACGTGGCTTGTGGAATGGTCTTCTGTGCCGTTACCAGAGTATCGCCACGCACAGATTCTTCTCTGTGGGCGTCACGTACGTACATGTTTTAAATGCCCATCTGCCCAAGTATCGTGCGGTGAAAGCCGGGCAGAAAGAGGGTTCACAGGGTCACAGGAAGGGCAGGGGCACAGCATCACATGCATTAAATCGCAAAACACTCAAATCGCAATCACACTTATTTGGTTTCTCCAAGACGCGGGTTTAAAGCCCTAGAAGCCACTCTGGCGAGCGGAGTCACGCCCCTCCCCCAGCCCCCGCCTCTCACCTTGCACACCAGGCGCACTTCGCATTCCTCCGTGACGTCCCAGTGCAGATACTCGGCAAAGTGGGGGCCTGGGGGGCGGGGAGAGGGTTGCAAAGTCAAAAAGACTTGCATGTATTACATACATGAACACGTGTGTGCTTCAAGTGTGTGCATGGAATATGCATGTATATCTACATGTGCACGTGCATGTAGGCGTGCACACATTTCAGGGGAGAAGCAGCCGTCCGGTGTGAACCGGGCCGACGCCTGTGTGCGCGACGCGCCTGGAGCCCGTGGCTCAGGGCAGGGCCCCCGCCGCCGAGCGGTCTCTTTCCTACCAGTGTCCCACCGCTGCCCTCCGGGGGAAGGGGTCACGCGTTCCCCACAAGGCGCGGCCCCCGCAGGCTGCAGGCAGGAGGCCGACACCGCAGCGAAGGGCAGGCAGCCTGGGCGGGCAGCTCTGTAAACACGTCAGGTTTCGGAACCCAGCGCGGCTTCGCGTGCGTGTGTCTTTACAAGGTCGACGAGTGCAGAGGTGCCACACACGCCAACAACGCCGCCATTAGCTCATTCGACACCAAAGTACAAGGCAGGTTTTAAAGTGTTTTTTGGTTTCTTTCACATAAATGGGTCCTATAAAGTTAAGAAATTCATAACGTAGAAATGAGTGAAATAAAATACTTTAGACTATTAAAATAAAAATAACTGGAAACGAAAGTAAAAAGAATGTCTTGGTGTCATATTTTATAATCTCCATTCTAATTTCTTAAAGGTACAGAAATCCTGTATGGAAAAAAAAATCCCCCAGAAAAATAAGCCCTCGGGTTACTTTTCAGGCTCCCAAATTGACCCATGTTTCCTTCTATCTAGTGAGTGTTCATTTAAGAAAAACATGTATTTAAAGTGTCTTGTTTGCAATTGAACAGTTAAAACATTTACAAGTTAACGGGTCCCCCAGGCTCCGAGTCACACAGCCGGGTCGCGGCTGCTGGAATGGCACCCACGGCCCCTGAGGGCCTCACAGCCCATCGGTGGCCCCCCGCGCACCCCCTCCTCTCCGACAAAGTCCCCGTCATTGTCACTGTCAAAGCCCTGGACGGGTCTGCGCAGGCTCCCGCCCTCCCGGCCGCGTACAGGCGGCCCCTCTCCGGTTCGCAGGGTGAGCACTGAGCTCCGCCCACCGGCGGCGTTACAGATGCAGCGAGAGACCCAGGTGCTCCAGCTCCAAGCGTGGCCCCCGGCCCGGCCTGCGGGAGGGGCCGGGGGAGGGGCAGCCACGTGAGCGCCCCCTCTGAACTTGGGGGGGGACGCCGGGAGGGCGGGGCTGTGCCAGCGAAAGGAAGAAATCAAATAAATCGGCCCCTGGGCGTGGAGGGAGACCGAGTCCGTCCAGCGGGAGGACAGGCCCTGTGACCTCGTACGCGTTTCACACAAAGGGCCGCCTAGCAGGGCCGCGTGCTGGGGACCCATCTCCCAGGCGCGGGCGAGAGAGGCCCGTGCGTCGCTCAGGCAGCACGCCGGCCGCAGAGCCTGGCTACGCCGGCCGTGTCCTTGACGGGGGTGCGGGGCAGCAAACGCGACGCTGACCACTAGATTCTGGGGTTTTAAAGGCAGAAACAGCAGCAAGGCCAGGGAGACGAAGGAAGCGGGCAAAGGACGGCAAAGCGCCCTGGCCAGACCCGGAGGCCGGACGGGCCGGGCCGCGGGCCCAGGGAAGCGCCGTGGGGCTCGCCGGGGCACGCATGCCCATCCTGCGCGACCGTCGCCCCCGGCTCCTGGTGGGCGGGCAAGTCGGACACCTACCTTGCTTCCTGAGAAACTCCTTTCTCTGAAACTCCGCCTCTTCTAGGACGGCCTTGAAAGCTGAATTCAACATTGAAGGAAGAAAAAACCCCATGAGACATGTCTGCTTCCCCCGGACAACAGCGTGTGCTTGAACCCCACCCCCGCCCCCACCCCGCGGGGGGCGCCGGCCGCACGCACCGTCCCCGATGAGCACCAGCGAGGACTGGCTCTTGGCTTTGCCGTCCTGGATCTGCACCGTGTAGGTGCCTTCGTCGTTGACGGTGAACTGCTGCATGACCATCTCGATGATGCCGGTGGCCTTGTCGCACTTCATCCTGTGCGCCTGGCGGGGGACACGTCCCACGGTGAGGCTCACCGTGTCCGTCCCCTGGGGCTCCCGAGGGACACGGGCCAGCTGCTCCCCGGCCGTCCTCCTGCCTCGCGCCTCCCCGCCACACCTCCCCAGTGACGGCGCGGCGCTGGCCTCCCCGCTTGCTCGGCGCCGCGGCCGCCAGGCCCGGGCGCAGGCGGACAGCTCAGCCGCCCCCTCGGAGGAGCCCCGGAAACCACCGCCCCTGAAACGCCCCCAACGGCCCCGGCGCCTCCCGGCCGCGGCCCCTCTGCGCTCACAGGCCGTGCCGCGCGGCCGCAGTGCTCTCTCCGTTCCACAGCTTCCTATGTCTCTGACTGACCCGGCGTTTCGACGCCAAGGCAACTCCCAGAGGGCACGTTCAGGTCCCCCTTCTCTGCCCGACAGACAATCGAGACCGAGCGGCAGAACCAGCACCGACACCCGCCGGGAGGGGAGGCGGGGCTCCGGGTTGCCGGGGGTGAGCTGGGAGCCTCGGGCGCCGTCCAGCCAAGCCCGGCTTTCACGGCCAACGTGAGCCAAGCCCCGGCCCCGGCCCCAGGCCCTGACGTCCCGTGAAAAGACAAAACCACCTTCCCAGGTAGAAACTCTGCTGTTATTTCACATGTGTCGCGCGTGCCGCGCGTCCTTGGGGGCGACCGTGCAGCTTTTTTCTAGCTGGGCAACGGGGACAGGAGGTCAGTGCAGCAACTGGCAGCAAGAGGGCGCCAAGCTGGGGGCACCGGCCTCGGCTGCTCTTCAAAGGGGAGTAAGAAGCGGCAGGTACGGCAGGAGCTCGGATGGAAAAGACCCCCCTCTCTCTCCGGCTGCGTGGCTCAGCGGGGTGGGGCAGCGTCCCAAACACCACAGGGTCACGGGTTTGACCCCAGGTCAAGGCGCGTATCGGAGGCAACCAACCGAAGTTTCTCTCTCGAATGAACACTCCCCTCCCTCCCTCTCCCCTCTCCCCTCTCCCTAAAGTCCGTAAACGTACCCTCTTCTCAGGCGAGGGCTGTTTTTAAAGCCTGCTGACCTCCTCTCTCACCCCGACCAAACCCCAGAACACAGCGAGGGCCAGACGCCCGCCCCTCATCTGGCCGAGCTTCCATGCCCCAACTTCTACAGGTCGAACACGGACACACACACACACACACACACACACGAGTGCTGCATGTGAGCGAGCCGCCCCCACGCCCAAGCACGCACCTCGCTGTCAGAGACCTCCTTGTCGTTGATGACGAACCGGTAGCTGGCGTCCGGCGACAGGTGCTCCGCCTGCAGCCAGAAGCGAACCTGGCCGTGATCGAACACCTCGTAAGCCAGCTCCGACTTCAGAGGGATAGCTGCCGGGAAGAAAGGGTTCGGGGCGTCACGCAGGGACCCCGAAAGGACGGCGGTGCCCTGGGTCACATCCACGCCGCTCATTAAATTTTCAAGAAGGTAGAGACCCCGGGGAACTGAATCATGAAACCCAAAAATAAAAACTGAAGCCCGGCCAGCCCGGCCAGCCCGTCGCGTCTGCCGCCCGCACTGGGGCAGCTGAGGGTGCGGCACCCCGCTTTCTCAGTGCGTCTGGGGTGAGTCTGCAACGGGGGGTCCGCTTTGACCGGCAGCCGCACTGCGCCCCAAATTCAAAACGCTCTCCACATGATGAAAAATGCTGCAAGTATTTGTTTCACGTGAAGAGGGGCCAAGCCCGGAGGCCGGAGCAGGAAACGCCGCTGTGTCCCGTGCCGCAGAGCGAGCCCCACGCAGACGGCCCCGCTGGCCCCGCCGGCCCCGAAGGCCCAAGCCCAGGCCCGGGCCCACTTACTGGGATTTTTGATCTCGTTGCTCAGGGCCATCAGACGTTCAAACTCTGCGAGGAAGAGAAAGGCGCTGTTGGTTTCCGCCGGGACACTCGGAAGTCGGCCAACCACTGCCAGGCCCCGCACAGAGGCTGACGTCACGAGGCTGCGCTGCGGCGCGCACGACGCTTTCCCCGGAGGGGGCAGCACAGGGCCCTGCGGCCTGCGGCCCTGCCGCCAGCGACCTGGGAAGGCTCCCCACCGGCTGAGAGGCTGTCAGGACAGGAGGGGCTGTGGGCCCCGCGGGGAAGGGCTGCTTCCTGGCCGCCAGGCGCCATGGGGCCTCGCCCCTCGAACAGCTGGAACCTGCCGCTGGCCTGCGACTGCCGCCCCCTCCACAACGTCCTCCTTCCGCACCTGCCCCCCACCCAGCCCCCAGGTGCGTCAGGCAGCAGTCGCCGTGGGGGGAGGGGCGTGCGCCTCCCTCAGGCGTCCCAAGAGCAACCTTACAGCAACAGGAGATGCTCCGCCGTTTCTGCCTCCCCTCCCTCCCTCCCTCCCTCCTTAAAGTGACAACTTGGAAATGAGATTGTGGCCACGAAGCCGTGTGTGCACATGTCTGTCTGAACCGGAAAATGAAGCCGGCTCCTCCTGACAGGACGAGCACCCCGTCCGCCCACGGCCTGACCGACGGCCCCCCGAGGCTGACGGCTGGGACGCCCTCCAACCAGACGAGCCGCCTCTGCAGCTCCAGAGTCGGGCCTGAACACACTCTGCATTCGACGTGAAACACGCTGCAACGTTCATCCTTCGCAACTACTTTAAATATAGGGGAAACGTCATCTGCCCCCTTTCAGATGGTGCAAAAGGATGCACTGCTTTTAAGAATTACTTAAGGACATTTGAGGACAAAAAAACCTGTGCGTAGACCACATGCTGGGGTGAGAGAGGCTGCTCCGCGAGCCGGACCCGGGAGCCCGCCGTGGACGCCCGCTCTCTCGCCCTGCCGAGTCCTGGCACACTTGCACGAGCCGACCCAAGTTCGCCCCGCATCTGAGGCCACCAAGAAGCTGTCTCCCCCTCTTCCCCAGGACTTTGGCCTGTCCCCTCCCCCAGGCGCCCTCTGGGGTCACTTTCCCAGGGACCCCATGCCCAGCACGCCACCCCCCGAGGGCCCACGGACAAGGAGAGCTTGCATCTCCGGCTGAGGCGTCCCAGAGGCCACGTGTCTCAGCCGAGGGCTCGGAGACTCAGAAGCTTTTAAAGACCCCAAACACAAGGGATTTGAGGGCCCTGTGCCGTGCGACGCAGCTCACCCCCCCCTCGCTGCCTGTCCGGGTAAAGAACAGGGACGCTGCCCCGGACGTGCGGGGAGTGGGGGCGGACACGTAGGGCCCAGGCAGCGCCAGCCGCCCCGAGTCCCGCGAACAGACCCTTGAGGGCCCCTCCCTGGGTCTCAGAGAGGCTTTTCTCCCTTCCGCTGTCCTCCCTTTGCACGGGAGGGCGAGGCCCCGAGGACGGCCACCCGCGCCATTTCACGCACGTCACTGGACGTAGCTCCCTGTGCTGTCACCCGACTATCCCACGTCGGGAGGAACGAGGGGCACCGCGTTCTCTCACGCATCCGCCCCGCAACCTCACGGCTTATTTGCTAACGGGCCACGCCCCCGTCACCAGACCACCCGCTGGCCACGGCACCCGCCAGCCGCAGCCGCGGCCGCAGCACGTGCGCAAGGTGTCCCGGGAAGGGGCGAGCCCAGGCTCTGCGCTTACGCGTCGTCCCTGCCCCCCCACCCCGCTCCCTCGAGCACGCGCCCCTTCTCTCAGCAGAGGAAGCTTCAGAGCCAACCCCGGACAGCGTCCCGGCCCCCGCTGACCCACGGACGTTACCTTCCTCGTCCAGGACAAAGCTGGAGGACACGCCGTCCGTGTCGCTGACGGACACCGAGTACGTCCCCAGGTCCCCTTTATCCGGATTCTTGAAGTACAGCTTGGAGCTGAAGGGAAGGAGGCCGGGGCGTCAACGATCCCTGGCGTCCGCCTCCCGAAGAGGCCGCGCCCGCCCGCAGCCCACACGACTCACTGGTCCCCGACGGTCTCGACCGCGAACCGCGGGTCGGCCCCGATCTCCTCGTAGGACTTGCACCAGGTGAACTGGGAGGCGTCTGTCATGTCTGGGCAGTCGAAGCTCAGGTAGATGTTGCCCTCCTCGTCCACGCCCGCGCTGACCTCCTTCGTGCCTGCGGGGCGAGGGCGCGAGTGAGCGCGGGGCAGAGGGACGCGCTGTCCTGGGTTCTTCTCCGGGGGGCAGAGGGGGGTGCGGGCCCGCAGGGGGCACGTTCCGGGACTCAGTGAGGAAGCCGACTGCCCCCGCCCGCAGCCCCGGGGGCAGAGGGTCTGGGTGTTGTCTGTCTAGGTCATCGCGCCTCTGCCTGTCCGTCCCACGTGCCTCTCCGCATCCAGGACGGCTGGAGGAAACCTTGGGGCTGCCGGTCACGGCCCCGACGTCCCTTCGCTGGGATCAACCCCCCTGCGCCTGGGGCACAGGCGGCCGCGGTGACCCCGGGGGACGTCACGCCCTCACCCCCCCGTCTGTGCCCGCTCTCTAGCTGCCTTCTGCCCGAGGCGGATCCACGGTCAGGAATCCGGGATGGCAGCCCCTCCTCAGCCTCCCCACCCTCCAGGGGCTTGCGGTCGCCGTGGAGACGCCGGTGAGGATCGCGACGCGGCCAGTGCCCGTGGAGAGGAGCCGCGAGGGGCTCGCGCTCCCGCCGCTCGGACGCCACCCCCCGCCCCCCACATCCCGTGAACACACCTCCACTCCCTCTGAAGGACGTCCCTGTCACCAAAGAAACCACCCAGGGCTTTGAAATTTCCGCTCCAAATCCAGCCGCAGGCTGAAAAGCCACGCGCACTGTGCACTGTTGCGCAGCTCTGAGCGAAGGTCCTGCCGGCGGCGCTCAGGGACCTGCGCTGCGCTGCCCTCCTGTCGGGGGCAGCAGAGCCCGGGCCTGGGGGGGACCTGTCACCTCACTGCCCGTCCGGCCGCCCTGAGCACCTGCCGCCCGGCCACACCCCGGCGCCGCGTCCGCCCTCGGCTCACCGGGCCGGGTCTCCAGCAGCACCGGCTCGGACGCGTCCGACGGCGCCCCCACGCCGCTGGCGTTGACGGCCCGCACACGGAAGACGTAGCTGTGGCCTTGGTGCAGGTCGCAGACCTTGAAATGCGGGAGGAAGTCACAGGAGTAGATAAATCAAGACGCTTTGCTGTTTTTCACAATTTATAAGGAACAAGGTTTTGGTTAAAAAAAAACAACAACAAAACCGTTTTCCTCTCATTGGAATCACTGTGCAAACTGAGCTACAGAACCAACAGGTTCACACTCAGAACCCGACTTCGCAGGAATAAACAGACCTGCGATAATTTTGGTATGTCCTCCTCCTTTTTCCTTGCATGTTTAAAGCAGATTAAAATCGTATCACCTCGTTGCCAACCTGACGTGTAAAATTATTAAACATAATCCTATGGGGCTAAATGTAATTTCAAAAGTGAATTCCAACTGTGCATAATGTCCCATTGTTTGGACACATGAAAAGTTGATCAACGTCTCCTTACCCCTAAATTGATAATGTGTATTGTAATCTGCATTGACAACCACAAATAAACTACATATTTAATAAATTCCTAACAAATTCCTCTCGTTAGATTCTGAGAAGTAGACCGATTTGTTTCAAAGACGACCAGTCTCGTTTCCCGGGCGCGGCTGCCCAGTCCCTCCCTGTCGCCGTGCAGCCGGGGACGGGGGCCGTGCTCGGGGCTGGGCAGGTCCCTCGGGCGCAGCACAGGACCCACAGCCCGGAGAGAAGGGCCCCACGGGGCACGGGCCAGGGGCACGGGCTCGGGACGGCTGTCGCGGCAGGCCCCGGGGACCGGTAATTTTAGGGGCAAAACCAGAAATATTTGGAGGGAGGACAGAGTGACCTCCCTGCACGGTCCTGTCAGCAGAGGTAAAACCAGAGGTGCACGTGTGTGCGTGTATGCGTGTGTACATGCCTGCTGTCGGGGCTTTGTTAGCAACCCCGTGCAAAGTACACGCAATGTGGGGCCCGCACCAGGAAGACGCCTGTGCGCGCACCGGCCGCGGCCGCCCGCCAGCCGCAGCTTTGGGGGCCCCCCCGCACCCCCCGCAGGTCTGCGACCGGAGCAGCGCCCACCTTCAGGTAGCGACTCGCAGTCGCCGCCTCGTTGGCCGTGGTCCACTCCTCCGAACCCTCCTCCTTCCAGTCCACGAAGTAGCCGGACACAGGGCCGCTGCCCGAGTACACCGGGGCCTTCCAGAGCAGGACCAGCGACGTGTCCCTGACCTCGCAGAAGGTCAGGTCGTAGGCGGGACCTGAAACGAGCGCCGGTCAGCGCCGCGCACGCCGGGGCCGCGGCGGTGAGCCCGGGGCACGGCCTCTGCAGCGGACACCCCCGGCCATGGCCACGCCCCCTGCAGCCGGGGCCGGCCAAGCGCAGGGGACGCGGTCGGGCCCAACGTCCCGCAGCCCCGCCGCCAGGCATCCTGGCGGCCGGGGTCTCCCCTGAGCGACTCTCGAGTCCTCGGCGCTCGCCGGGAAGGCGTCGTGCAGAGAAGGTGCGCAGCGAAGGCAGGGCGCTCTGCCCCCTCCCCCGGGCGGGACGCCTGTCTGTCCCCACCTGGCCGGCCACCACGCGGCCCTCGGCTCTGCCCGGGGCCTGGCACGGCAGGCCACGCCACACACAGGGCCGGGGCGGACCTGCCCGCCGCTGAGGCTGCGGGGCCGCGGCCTCTCACCCGGTTCCGGCATCGTCCAGGCCTCGCACTTGAAGAGCTCGCTGGGGTCCGAGGGCTGCCCCACGCCCACCAGGTTGGTGGCGGCGATTTTGAACTCATACGCTGAGCCTTCAGTCAGGCCGTCCACCTGTTGGATTGTGTCTGGATCAGTATGTGAAGTAAAAGCTGCCTCGCGTCTGCCAGAGGCAGCGGGGGACCCTGTCCGCCCAGCGGCCGCCTCAGCGGAGGAGCTGCCGTGCGGCCGGCACTACGGCTGCTCCATGAAGGCTCCCGGGGGTGACGGGGGCGTCCCCCAGGCAGAGGGGACCCGAGCCTCAGAGCGATGCTACCTGGCAGACGCCTGTGCCTCGGACGTCAGGGGAGGGGACGCAGGGCACCTGCATGCGGCTCCCTGTCACCTCTCCCAGCGCGCAGGCTCCAGGTCCCTCAGGGCACAAGGCGGCTCAGCGGCCACGGCAGGTCCGCCCAGCCTGGTCAGCCCCACGAGGGTGGGGTGGGGCCGCGGCCGCCAGGCCCGCCTCCCAGCGGGGGGCGCATTGGAGCCCGAGCCCCCCAGCCGCCTGCCCAGGGGCGACGGGAATGTGCACCCACCCCTCCCCAGGGGGCGGCTGCCGGCAGCTCCTCTCCGAGGACCGTGGGCCCGACAGGGGACAGCAGGCACAGCCCTGTGTCAGGGGCAACGGGCCCATCAGCGATGCCACACGAGGCCGGAGTTTTGGCCACACACGTCTCGCACAAGTGTGTAAAATACACGATCGATACAGATGTTATCTGCACACACAGGACAAGCCGAATCTCCTGCCAGGCAGAGATCAGACCTCCTCAGAGCCCCTCAACGAAACCCTCGGTTCACGACGTGAGCGGCTCCGGGCAGGCGACGCGCCAGCCCCTAGGAGGCCTGTGAGCCCGGGGGGCCACGCTCACCGATTCCTCCGGCGCGTCCACCGCGGAAAAGCGGGGCGGACGGCCCTCCTCACCTGCAGGTCAGGTGGTGCGCGTGTCCGGGAGGCTCGGGCAGCCGGGAGGGGCAGCGCCCCCGGCTGCTCAGCATCTGCGTCTGCACTTGATTCCAACCTTTCTGACCCCAAACTGATGTTCTCTCTACTCTCCGCCGGGGCCTGTTTCCACAGGGGACTCACCCACAGGCCCGAAACACCCGCGTCTCTCAGGGAGGCGGCAGCCACACCACTGTCACGAGACGCCCACCGTGACAGCACTCGGGGGCACGTCCCGCCGGCCCCGGGCCCACGCCTGTCAGCCACTTGCTCACCGCCTGCCCCTGCTGCTCAGGAGGCCGCAGAGCTGCCCCTGAGACCCGCCCGCCTGAGCCCGCGGCCGCGCGAGGCTGTGAACTCTGTGAACCCGTTTTCGTTCCTGGGATGAATCGTCTAATGTCACCAAGCCCCGGGACACCGAACGAAGGACCGTGCCCCCGGGGGCCCTGGACACCCACCGTCAGGATCCGCTCTCCGACCGGCGCAGCGTTGACCTCGTGCCAGTTCCTGTGCTGGGCCTCGCGCTGGTCCACGAAGTAGCCGAGGACGGGCGAGCCCCCGCTGAAGCGCGGTGCCTTCCAGCCCAGGGTCATGGACTGGCCATCACAGCGCAGGAGGGTGATCCCGTACGGGTAAGACGGGACGGCTGCGAGGACACGGGCCAGTCAGCGCCCCCACGCGCCCGCCCCAGCCCCAGCCCCGCCCGCGGCCGCCACGGGGCAGGGCCCGGAGCCGCGGACCCCTGCTCCTTTCTTGGCCTCCTTGTTAACTGTCTTTTTCTCTCTTTAGGAAAATTTAAAAACCCGTAGATATTTAAGGCTATTCCTAAGGACTGTACTTTGCTTCATATAATGTGCTCCTGCATTTGATACGCACCCACATTTCTGCCCCGAACTTTCAGGAAAAATACCTTGCATTTTAATTTTTTAATTCCATTTTTTAACTTATTTATATGTAGACACTTTTTGTATTATAAAAGAATTTTAAAGGAGCTACATTTTTAATGCATAAGCATAAATAAAAATTTAAGACATTTATGTAAATTCAGAATTAGGACTACCCGTGTATAACGCACATCCTCATTTTTACCTCAAAAATTTGGGCAAAAAAGCACATTACACACGGCAGCACGCGCTGCCTGTCCTTCGGTTGCCACTCCTCCCGCGCGGTAAGTATTTGAAACTGGCCTGGACGTTTGAAACAGCAGGTGGCCCCCACTGCCCGCTCCGAGGAAAGCCTCGCGGGGGCGTCTCCTCAGACCGCGGCGAACGGCAGCCGCCCCCCCGCGGCCAGCGAGGGCCGGGCTGCGGGAACCTGCCCTTCGTTCTGCGAGGGTGAGGACACAGGCTGGGCGCGGGGCCACCTTTCCCGGACAGGCTGTCCCGTCCCCGCCCCCGAGCAGCCCACAGCCGGGCGGCTCCCCCGAGGGGCAGGGGAGCCACGACCGGGCGCCTCATGGCACAGAACAAAAAAGTAAGTCCCCCGAGGGAATGACTTTAAAAAGCGGGCGGAGTGTTTAGAAGTCCCTCCTCGGAAAAAGGGAGATGACCTTCAAACAAAAGCATGACCTTTTTTTTTCCCCTTCTGTTTGCCCACTAAGTGTAATCAGACTTGACGTATCCTGGAGATTCTGGAAACATTATCCTCAGGAGAGAAGTGTTAATTGCTGAAAATGTCGTTAAATGTGGTGGAAGACAAATATAGCTAAAGAGCAAAACGCATCTTTTCAGAAGTGAAAAGATCATCCTATGACCCACCACCTGTCCCGTGTGACGTCCTGTGTCAGGGCATCCTGACTGTGGGGACACGCGTGGGGAGCTCAGCACGAAACCCCTGTTGCCAGGGCGGCGACCGTGGGGCCACCGCACACGCAGCCACCATGGCAGGACCCGCCCTGCAGGCCAGGGCCTGGACTGTTCGGACCCAGCAACGGCACAAGGATTTAGGGTGACCTTGGACCAGGCCGCGGGGTCACGTCGACCTGCGAGCGCCCTGGGGCCGCTTATTCCAGCTCCTTGGGAGAGAAAGCGCGGTGGCCGGCAGCACCCGTGGCAACGCGGGCACTGAGCTGGCAGCAAAGCTGCCCTCCAGCACCGGCCCCACGTGGAACGGGCCCGTGGTTGGCGTGTGCCGCCCCGCCCGCCGCGCTGGCATGCCCGGGACAAGGAGCAACGGCGGAGAAGCTCCCACCGAGCCGCGCACCCCCGGCGGGACGGTTTACGCCGCCCTGTCCTCTGTAACGTTCCGAACGGCGTCCGGAGCACGTGCACGTGCAGAAGTGGCGCGCGGGCGTCACTTACTGAGCGGGGCCTGGACCTTGATGGGGTCGGACTCCTGCGAGTTCTCGCTGGTCCCCACGGCGTTCACGGCCTTCACCCGGAAGATGTACTGCTCGCCCGTGGTCAGGCCGTGCACGACGAACCTGCGGGGCGGGGGTGCCGGTGAGCGCGCAAGAGCTGCGCACCAGGGCGGCGCGGCGAGAGCTTCGCCCCGGGGCAGCCCGTGGGTGCCGGCCACACAGCGAGCAGCATCGAGCCCTGCTCCCCTCAATCCTGGCTCCCCTGGCGCCAGCCACCGCTTTTCCCAGTTCTGTTTTGTTTTTTAAGAAGAAGGTCTGAAGGGAAACAGCCGAGGCACGAGGGACGACCGTGCGCGGAGGACAGCCCGGCAGCCTCCTCTGCGCGCCCGAGTGTGTCCCGGGAAAGCCCGCCCGCGGCCACGAGCTGCACGCGCCGCCCGCGGCGAGGAAACCGACGCGGGGCCAGGGAGGCCCCCGCTCGGGAGGACCGGCCGCTGGGCGAGCAAGACGACCGCGACGTTCAGGACGTCCGTGCGGGAAAGTAAAACACCTCGCCCATCACGGCTGCCGCCTCGACTTCCCGTTCAGAGGCGACTCTTCAATGCCGCGAGGTCAGAAGAGCCGACCTCACGGAGCTCTTCTTCATCAGCAGAAAAGCCCCTTCAGCCACGTGCCTGGAACCAGCTCACCGACGCCCAAATCGGGCCCCCCCTCCCCTGCCCATCATGTGCGAGCAAGAAACACACTCGTTTGCAAACCCCTGGGATGTGCGTCCCCCACGGAGGGCGGGCGGCGGGCCGCACCTGTTGTAGCCGATGGGCTTGTGGTTGCAAGGCTCCCAGAGGTTGGAGCCGGCCGCGCAGCACTCCACGTAGTAGCCGAGCAGGTCCTCCTCCTGCTTCGGCCTGTCCCATTCCACCACCACCGACGTCTTCGTGTTCCGCGACGCGAGCACGCGGCCCGGCGCCGACGGCGCGACTGTGCGGGGAGGCACAAGTGCACACGGTCAGCGACGCGAGAGCTCGAAGACACGCGAAGGCCTTCAAGCCCCTTTATCCACGGGACGGGCCGCCTAGGTTTGGGCCTTGAGGTGAAGCTTGGACGAGGAGGAGGCAACAGGGAAACAAGAGTGGACGAGCCACCAGAGGGTCCGGGGGAGCTGGCCAGCCCCTCTGTCCTCCCGAGGCCCCTGGACTGCAGGCAGAAGGACAGACAACCGCAGAACCCCCACAGCGCCACCGGGACCACTAGAAAGAGCTTCCAGGGACACGCCTGCTTTGGCTAAGGGGGTGGTAACTACTCTGGAACAGAAAACTGCCGATTGTGAGAAAATAAGTCGCGTTTGCATCAGATCTGTCAGACTCCATAAAGGATTCCAATTAAAATCCTGATTTGACCACAGATTTTCTCACCTAGCCTTTGACACCCTCAGCGAGGGAGCCTCAGCCATGCAGGTAACAAGCTCTAGCGCATTCAGGGCTGGCGTGTTTTAAAGTGACCCTTGTCCAGATATCTCTCTCATAGGTGGATCAATTTCAATAAGAAGGAGATGAAACTTGGGAGAAATTCTGAAAACCGACCAAAGCTGGGCAGATGGATCTTCGCCTCTCATAAAACGAAACATTAAGGCACCCTGAACTCTAACGGCTCTGCACCATGAATGTCTTTATCGACGTAAAGTAGGGGTGACCCTGGGGCACCGCGTACGGAGCCTGCCCTGCGTGAGCCCCAGCCCCAGCCCCAGCCCCTCGCCGCGCCCGCTCACCGATGGAGTCCTGAGCCTGAACAGGGGAGGTGATCTCCGACGGGTCACTCAGGCCGTGCTTATTGGCAGACAGAACTCGGAACACGTACGACTTCCCCTCGGCCAAGTCGAAGACAGCGTAGCGCGGGGACCGCACGGCCAGCTGGGTGTTGACCCGCTGCCAGCTGCCACTGCCGACCACGGACTGCGGGGAGAGGCGGGACGTGGGGCGAGCGGCTCCCCCCGCCGCGGGCCAGCGGGCGGCACCCCGGCCCGCCGATCGGATCGCGCCCCGGGGCGCCGCCCGCCCTCCCTCCGTGTACCCTGCCGCCGTGAATCCTCGTCAGCCCTCACGGAAAGGGACGCCGATTTGGAGAAAAGTTATTTACAGTTGAAAATGCTTACCCATAAAATTTTCCCTCGAAAGGGCATAATTAAACCCTAGAACGCTTAAAGGAATGAGTACATGTAGGTGGTCATTAGAGTGCAATGTGGTGAACTGTAAAGATAATTTAGGAAAATATTCATAAAATGCCATCATAACTCAACTGTTCACATTTGGGTTTAACACTGTTACTATTTTGCAGCTACAATAGTGATAACAATGCAACAGTGATCCAAATGACTAGTAAGACACATTGCAACAGTTACGCATCTAAAAACGTAGCCTTACATGCACCTGGAGGAGAGAGGAAAGGGAGGGGGCAGGAGAGACACTGCAAGGGACCCACCACCAAGCTCCTCGATGCCAAGCGAGGCTGGGAGCCCAACTGTGGCCCTAGCGCTGGCTGCCCACGCACGGGCCGCAGGGGCGGGTGCAGGGCCGGCCCGGGGACCCCACGGGGCCACACGCCAGGCGGCGCCGCCTCGTGCGTCAACCCGTCCCCCACGTCCCAGAGCCCGCAGCGCTTCAGTGCGCAGGGTCAGCGCGGTGCCCTCCACGTGGTGGGGACTCGGAGCCTGGAGACCGGACACGGGCTTGCTCACAGGGGGTGCGGCGTTGGGGGATGGGGGGCGGCAGGGCCAGAGCCAGGACACCCCCGGACGCCGCCATGAACTTGTCTGGTCGTTCATAGCACAGCCAGCGCCTGCAGCCTCCTTCCCGTAAACTAAGTGGCACCTGTGTGGGGTGCGGTGCGGCGCGGCGGGGCGGGGCGGGGCGGGGCGGGGCGGGGCGCGGCGGGGGCACAGGGGATGTGACACAGTACCTTCTCGATGAAGTAGGACAGCGGATCCTTCCCGCGCGGGACAGGGGGGTCCCAGCTGAGGACGGCGTAGGTCCTGCTCAGCTCGGAGACATGCACGTTGGTGGGCGGCCCCGGGATCTGCGTCTCGCCTGGGCCTGCGGGGAGGGAACGCCCACTTGCTCGTGGCCCCGCCCACTCACCCCGGGGGCCAGGGCAGCTGGTCCAGGGGCAGCGGGGTCCCGCTGGAGATCGCCGGCCCCCTGCACCCAATACGAGCCGCTTCCCAGCTCGGCCCAGACCGGGCGCGGGCCCGGCTCCGGCTGGAAGCGGGCGGAGGACGAGCCGGGAGACGCAGAGCCTCCGACCCCACGTGCAGCCCCGGACGCCCCAGGAATTCGTCAGGAGGCGGCGCCGCCCGCACACCCTGCGGCGTGGCCTGCGCTGCTGAGGGCCGCCCCGGCCTCTCCGCCCGCCGTCCTCAGAGCCGGCACCACACGTCCGCCCCCACGCACCCCGTCCCTGGCCCGCCGGACCTCCCCCCGCAGCGCTGCGACTCTGCCCGCGTGGGCGGCAGCCCGCGGGGACCGCGCGCCCAGGCCTCGCCGGCCGCAGGGACACAGCGGTCGCGGTCACACGTCGGCTGCTCCTCTCCGGGCGCCAGGCTGTTCTCACGTCCCGCCAGGCGTCAGGGCGACGGCCGGACAGGGCGGGTCGGCCGCCTCCCCGAGAGCAGCCCTCGCCGGACTTCCCAACGGAATCAGGGTTCACTTCCGAGGGGCCAGACCATGCCGGACGCAGCCGCGGGAGACGCTGGACGCGGCCACGTGGGCTCCGAGGGCAGCCCGTGTGGCACAGGCCGAGCGGGAGGCCTACTGCGTGCAGGGCGGCGACCAAGCCTCGGGGCCCGGGCACGGCAAGGAGGGGGACCCTGCTCCTGTCGCCGGGGAGACGCAGGAGCCACGCGGGCCGTCGGCCTCAGCCTGGGCGACGCCGCAGCGCGAGCCGCGGGAACGGACGGGTGGCCCGCGGTCAGAAGGGGAGCGGGCGGCGGCCAGGACAGCGCTGTGCCCCCAGCCCTGCCAGAGCCCGTCGCACGAGGAGGACAGGGCGTCCACTCCCAGCAGGGCGGCGCGAGGGTGACCGGGAACGCGGCCGACGGCGAGAGTGCTGACGGCCGCTGCACCGTCTGAGGGCAGACGCTACCCAAGGTCAACGGGATGGGGACATTAGCAAAACCCTGAAACAGCAGAGAAGCCATTGTCTAACCAACGAAAGTAATGCTTTTTTTTTCCATTAAAACACTGTTTTCCAGCTAAAACGTGAAGACAGGGCCGCTGAGCCGAATGCCAGACGCGTGGAAGGGGAGGCACTTCCGAACCGTGCGCTTTGGAACCCAGGAATGGCGGGGCTCAAAGCCCTGCGGGGCCCAGGAAGGCTTTCCTAACAACGAGGACTCCTCACTCCATGCGAGCAAACGGAGGAGCTTCCCAAAGCCCCATCTGCCCGCGGGAACTCTCACGCCGTGCCTGGCTTGCTCTAGACCACGGACACGCCCCGGCGCTGCTCGCCAAGCCTCGCTCCAGGGAGCTGAGCTGGCGCACTCCCCGCGGCCGCCGCCCCGTCAAAGGGACTCCAGTCCATCAGAGCGTATCGGCCTCCGTGAACGGCCACGCCTCAGAACCCTTCCCAGAGGCGAACAAAATACAGCCTGTTCGCCACAGCAGCCAACTCAGCGAGGGCCGGGCCCAGGGGCTGGAAAGCCCACCTGCCCAGAGGAAAGAGCGAGGCAGCACGTGGAAGGGGTCCCTGCGACCGGCGGCAGCTGGTCGTGAGCTCGCTGCATCTGCAGACCAAACGCCCGCGTCCTCAGCTGGGAGACCTGCCTCCGAACTGTGCCATTGCTTTGCTCGGGATTTAAAGGACAGCTGGCTGCTCGCACATCTGTGTCTATGCACGAAGAGACAGCTTTCGCCCCGGAAATGGCTTGTTTTGTGACCTCGTCAGGCAGGTGACGAGGTCCCGTTACGCTGTTTCCCCGCCAATGACCTTTCACACCGCAGATTTCATCCAAAAAAGCCGCGTTTGGGCACAACGGACACCTTCCCGTTCCAGGTGGCTGCTTCCAGAGTCCCGCCCCCCCCCCGCCCCCTCGGGGGGTCCCCTCTGCCCACGCACCCCGGCCCGCTACTGGGGTGAAAAGAGAGCTTTTCCTCCACCGTGTCGAGAACCCCCTTCCTCCTGCTGCTGGCGCGGGTCAGCTGCTGCCCTTCCGAGGCCACCGGGAGCCACTGTCACCCGTTGGGATCTGCGCTGCCACCGGTTCCTTACGTCATCCGCGTCCACTGCTCTCAAAGGCTTTTCCTCCGACACGTTTCTATCGGGCGTCACCCTGGTTTCTGAGTTCTCCTGGGATTAACCAGAGCCCTAAAGGGCGTTTCTAGGGGAATGAGGTCTGCTCCCTGAGACACTAGAGAAGAACCTTTACAGAGGCAGAACGTACCATTTTGGGTGTCTTTGCGGGGCACACGGGAAAGCCCACCAGTGCGCGTGTCCTGCGTGCGCGGCTCCGTGGGAGACACGTGGGCGGGGGGCGGGGGGGGGGACTGATAAACTTGGAGGAGGAGCCCAGAGCACAGTCCCTCAGGTGGTGTCTCCAAGCTGATTAAGTCTTATTTTAAATTTTCGCTCGGCGTCCTAAGTGACCGCTACGTGCCATACAAGTCTTTGGGTCTCCGACTACGCGCGCTGGGCTCCCCTCCTTCCTGAGTCGCTCTTGCGGGACCCCCGGGCCGGAGTGTTAGGAAGCACTCACACAACCCGACAGGGCGCTCCCGGACGGGAGGACGCGGTCCATTCCAGCTCTTAGAAATAACCGCCTCGCTTGAGCGAGTACCAAACCCTCTTCCAGGAACGGAAAGTGCGAGAGGGCAGCCTGACACCAGCCAGTCACCGCGGGGCGGCCTCTCCCGTCCGCACGGGAAGCGTCCGTGAGCCCCCAGGACGACCGTCGCACCCACGGCTCGACCACACCTTCATTCTCATCCGCACGCCCTCCTCTGTCTTGCTTCTTTTTCTTTAACGTCTACGGGCCCTCTGCTTGCGGCCTGACCGACGCCCCGACCTTTCCCCGTAAGGGCGCTGCTTGTCCCGCCTCCCTCGGCAACCCGCGCACCCGGGGCAGGAGGGCGGCTCACCTTCGAGGTCCTCCTCGTAGATCACGATCTCCTTCTCTCCCTCCAGGTGGACCGCTGCAGAGAGAGAGGGCGACGCTGCCTGCGACTCCCGACGGCCTCCTTCGGGAGGCGCCTCCCCCAGGCGCGGGGGTCCGCCCGCCTCGGCAGCGGCGGTCCCCACGCGCCCGCTACCCTGACGTCCCTGGCGCTGACGCTCTGGAAATGGTCTGCGTGGTACTCAGCGCCTCTCAGCAAGAGACCACGCAGGTGAGGAAAAGAGGAGGCCACTGAAGACCTGACTTACGGTCCAGCCCCGCTCAGGAGCCTGCGTTATGTGAAATTAAAATTCCCACACAGAGCGGCTCGGTTTCAGTGTCCTCTCATTCTCGTTGTGTGTTGAAATTATATCATCGACAGACTAAGAAAAGTCTTGATTCTGCACCAATTTAACTGGATTTCAGGGAGGAGCAGCAGGAAGGTGCGAGTCTCGGCCTGGCCTGCCCGCTCCTCAAGGGGCGCTGATGGGGGCCCTGAGACTCGCCGCCCCGCCCGCCCCGAGGTGCCCTCGAGGCTCGGGTGCTGCCGGGGGTCACGAAGGCGGCGCACGCCCCGGGACGGGGCCCCGTGTCCCGGCCGCAGCTGGAGCGTGCCATCCCCCGACCTACCTTGCAGCCTCCTGAGGTCCAGCGGGTCGAGCGCGGCCACGGCCTCCGAGGTGCGGGACGGCCGGCTGACGCCCGCGTTGTTGACGGCGCGCACGCGGAACACGTAGGACCGGCCCTCGAACAGCCCGGTCACCGGGTACTTGCAGATTTTCACAGGAGAGTCGTTGCACTGCACCCAGTTGCTGGTTCCCACTTCGCACCTTCAGGCAAAAGCGGGCGCCGAGGACAAGAGCCGTTATAAGTCCGGCGGTGCCCACGAGCGGGAGCACGGTTACGCAAACGTAATGTCTAACGACCGCAGCAGGAGACGGCCTCACACCGGTAGAACCAGCGCCACCAAAACACCGATTTACACGAGCCGTGTACGAACACGCTAAGAGGCAGCTACTGAGGAAACACAACGCGGATTCCTGAGCCTGTATAATGCACAGGCTCACGTCGACTCCGGACGGCAGACACATTCCGGAAACCAGCTCTCGAACAACTCTCATCGCAAAACCTCGGGGCCCCGCAGCGGCCCGGCCGGCGGCTGCCCGGCGGGAAGGGGGGCCGCCCTCGGCTCCAAGTCCAAACCCAGGCCCGCGCCCGGGGTGGGTCCCGGAGGTGCCGGTGGGCCATCTACGCCAGGAAAGGTGTAACGCCTCTTTCTAAGGTGCTTCCCACGTGCGATTTGGAAGTCTTTTGAAACCATTAGGTCCTGACCGGGAACGTGGGAATGTCCCGAAGGTTCACCTCCAATTCAGAGGCTGAGACCCTCCGATACCAGACGTCACGTCGCATTCCCAGGACAGGAGAGCAGACAGAGCAAATCACCCTTGCAGAGACATTCCGGTTCGTTTTAAAAAGAACCAGCTCTCTTTTCTCCTAATTACCCAGAATGTCCAAGGAAAGTCTCGGGCCACACGTGCTAACCTGCCTCCGCCTGGGCCCTGGGTCTCTGTCTTTCTGAGGCGGGGGGGGAGGCACTGAGAAGGCGGGGGGACCGTGTGCGCCAGACAGTTGGAAACATTATCAAAGGTCGCAGGGGAACAAGAAACAGCATTTGCTTTTTGTGTTTTTAATTCAAGCTAAACCCCAAACGACCCCGCGCTCCCTGCAGGTCTGACACGGGCCGATCGAAATGCTGTGCAGACGCGACTGTTTCCGCTGAAAGAGGAGCTTTTGGGGGGTAAAAAGAACTTAATCACCAGAATGCTAAAAAAACAACAAAAAAAACACAACTGATTGGTATTTTTTTCAAATACCCGTCTTATTCCGCGACTTTATACACGTAAAATGCTACATTCCCCCCCAGAACCGTCCACTTAGACCCAGAAGCCTGGGCCCTGCTGTCTCGCTCCTGCACTCACTCCCTGGGGCCGTCACTTCTGTCAGGGACCGGCAGGCTAGGACCGGGAGTCCCGGCCCCGCCGGCGCCCGCCCGGCTGCGGCCCCTCGCAGAGGCCGGACGTGAAGACGCCCCGCCCTGGGCTGCGACGCGACCTGCGTGTCGGTTGCATGTCACCGAACAGCTCCGCTGCTGTGCCCACGCTTTCCACGCGGAAACCACACGGAAGCCTCACTTAACAGACAAGAGCTGGGCGCCTGCGTTCCAGCCGCGTCCGCCCGTCCAGCCTCTCGTCCTCCAGAGGGGGGCCCGGGCAGACACCCAGGGGGACGGGGCGGGGCTCCCGGGGCCCTGCCTGTTTGGTGACGTCTTCCGACGGTCGCGGCACTAATAACCAAGTGCCGAGCACCTGGAGCCCATTAAGGGGGGGTGGTGACCCTGGGTCTAGAGAAACACCCAGCTGCGCCATCGGCGACAACTCCCGCGGCGCAGCCGCGCCAGCACCGGCGGACACTCACCGGTCGATGAAATAGCCGATGACGGGGCTCTCCATGGTCGTGTTGGGCGGCTTCCAAGTGACGATGACGTAATCGCGGTTGGCGTCCTGGCACTGCACGTCCATGGGCGCACCAGGGGCCCCCGTGACCAGCGGGTCCGCGTCTGCCGGGGGCGGGGCAGACGCCCGGGTTAGAGGCGCCGGAGCGGAGGCCCCTGGCTCCCACTCAGACCCCCGCCGCCCGACGGGACCCTGCCTGAGCCTCACGTCCGATGACGTGACTGTCCTTTCTCTGTGACGGACTAATGACAAGAAATGTGAACACGCATGCTTTTTTTTAAAACTCAAAACCTCCTGTCCTCTGCAACACGCTCGACTCCACGCATTTTCATAAGTGGAGCCAAAACCGCAGTTCGCGGGCTCTTGACGGCAGGCGGTCACACGCCACGTCAAGAACGCGCGGAACGCACGATCGTAACCGCGTGGCCTCTTCGGCACCTGGGGAATGGACCTCGGATGCTTTTCTGTTTCAGAGTTGTCCGAGAATTTGAGGACTTTGAACTGTTTTTCCGGCGCATTGTCAGCACACGTCCGGGTCCATCCTCCGCGCGATCACGTCGCCGCTGGTAGGCGGCCGCAGTGCAGTGAGGCTTTGTTTTGAAAGTTCAATCTCGGCGGCAGGTGTGGCCAGTACCCGGACACTGCGTTACCGCGTCTCAAACCCGTTTCGACCCAGGACCTCGGCTCAGACCCACTCTGAGCACGGCTTCGCCTTCCCATCTCCTCAGCCCATGAAAAGCTAGGGATTTCTCAACGTGGAGCCAAACGCTTTGCTCACAAAGTAATGAGGACCGTTACACGCGCCCCCACCCCCGCGCCGGCCTCCCCTGTCCGGCCGGCGGGGTCCTCCTCCGGGCCCAGCCCCACCCCGGAGCCCTGCGGCCCCGCACCCAGCGAACCTCTGACGAACAGGAAGGCGCTGTGCTCGCTGACGCCCCCTCTGGACACGATCCGCAGCGTGTAGAGCCCCTCGTCGTCCTTGTTCAGGTGGCTGAAGGACAGGGAGGCCTGGCCCTCCCCGAAGAACATCTTCGCCCACTTGGACTCCTTCACCAGCACGTCTGGAAGAGAGCAGGAGGCAGGCTTGGGAGCCGTCGGGGGCGCACTCGGGGACGCGCTAGGGACCGGTGTGCACACCGTGCGGGCACAGGCCAGCTCCACTCGAGTCCGACAGCGGGTTCCCACAGAGGCCACGATGTGTGAAGCTCCGCAGAGGAAGGCGCAGCTGCCCCACCGGCCGAGGTCGATGCAGGAGAGCGAGTCACGTGCAGCCTGGTCTCCCAGGGACCACGGCGTTACGTATAAAACCAGCGTACAACCCTTTCTTACAACACCCTGCTCCCAACGAGTGTGTGGCCTTCGGGTGACCTGAGCTCACCGCAGCCCCCAGCGCCCCCGCAGCACGTCCACCAGCTCGGCCGGGGGCCTCCAGCCGCCGGGCCCGCGCCTCTGGGCGGGAAAGGGCCAGCATAGCCTCCTCGCGTTGAACGTGCAGAACCAGCCACGGCGAGCGGCCCTGGCGTCTCCCACCGGAGCGAGCGCACGGGCTCCCCGTCGGGGCTACGGGTGTGGGGGGCCACATGGCCGCACCCCCGCGCGCGCCGCACAGTGTGTTTGGACAGGCACCGGCCCGCGCGCTCCGCTCCTGCTCCCCGAGGCTGGTCACGCGGCCGCGTCCCCAACATCGCAGGCACTGCCTGGTCCCTGGACGCTCTGAAATTGATGGCGCTTTGGGGGGGGCAAACACATTGAACTCAATGTCCTTTGTCTGCAGAAGGGGTAACTCAGGGGCTCAGAACTTCAGGTAGATGTTGGATCCTACATTCAGGTGTAAGCTTCCCTGTCCCTCCCTTCCTGCCCCCTGGAGAGTACAGGGCAGCGGGGGTCACCTGCCGCCAGCCCTCCCCCGCGGGGACACACTCCAGGACCCCCGAGGATTTCTGAAACTGGAAAGCACTGAATCCCATACACGATGTTTTTCCTATGCATATACGAGGCGGGGCCCAAAAACCCAGAATTAGCTCCTGGGGGGCGGGCCCCCTGTAGTGCAGGGCCCCCCGCTGACGAGAGCCCACCTATCCCAGGGCGCCCGCTGGCGATGGGGTGAGAGGCTGCGTCCGGCCTCAGCGCATGCCTTTGGAAGGCTCGGCGCGCTGGCCCGCTCCACGACGGGCGGTTTGCGAGCACCAGCCCACCGCGCGGCGCGTGCTCAGCGGCTTTTCGCCAAAAACAGCAGGACCCCAGGCCCCAGCCTCCCCCGTTCACCCGACCTCACCCTGCGTGAGTTTGCTTGTTTCCCCAGATGACAAAAGGCCTCAAAGGGAAACATTTTTCCGATGTGGAAGGAGTGGGGTGGAAAGAACAGGAGAAGCACTAAAAGGCATCAGAATCGGCAAGTTCCAAAACTGTTTTGAACAGCAGGGAAAAAAACGTACTGATGGGTTTGTTGCATCAAACGGAGAAGGTGCTGAGGGTGACTGACGTTTAGCCACACGAGGACTCACACGCAATGTTTCGTAAGTAAGCTCTGGGTTTTTTGATTCTCTCCTCACACAGCTATGAAAGTTTAACTTATATCAATAAATTAGGCACCGTAAGAGATTCACAATAGCTCAGAACAGAATTGTAACCATCTGCTGAGATAGAAATTACCTGAACGTGGTCTCTCTCTCTCTCTCTCTCTCTCAAACACACCTTGCCCCGCACCCGCCTCCTCCCTGGAAGCAAAAGCGCCCGGGCCTCCCGCCGGCACGTCAGACTCAACAGCACCCCGGCTGCCGGGCTCCGGGGCCGTCACTCCGGACAACTGGGAGCCGTGGGCACGAGCCGTGACAGCTGCTCTGAGCGCCGAGACGGCCGCTCGGTGACTCACAGGCGGGCAAAGGGACCGGTCACGCCCCGGGCAGGATGGAGCAGGGCGCTGGTCAGCACGGCGAGCAACTTAAAACTTAGGAATTGTTTATTTCTGGAATTTTCCATTTACTATTTTTGGACCGCGCTCCAGTGAAACTTTAGAAAGAGACCGAGCAGGCGAGGGAGGACTACTGTACCCTCTCCCTGGAGACGGCCGTGGGTCTCGGTGCCCCTGCCAGCCACCACCGTCCCCTCCCGAGCGGCCGCTGCTCTTGGCCACGTTTCTCTGAACCGCGCGGCCTCTGTGCCGGGCGTGGTCGGGTTTCCTGCCTGTGCTGAGCACGCAGAACGCTCCCTGCCCGCAGCGACCGCCGCCTCGCCCCCGCAGCCTCTCCTTCTCTCCCCGACTGTGCCCCTGGCTGACCGTGCCCCTGGCTGACTGTGCCCCTGGCTGACCGTGCCCCTGGCTGACCCCAGCGGCGCGCCCAGCAGCGCCTGCACCTGGCCAAGGACCACAGCCAGTTCCGGGCATTCCTTACACTTTGAACAGAGTTGCCCTGAAACGTTCCATCTTTTCCCCGCCGAGAGCACAAACGTCTCAGCAGCAGGAACGGCATGTGTTACTTTGTAACATTTGCACCGCCTGGATCCCACCCACAGAAAACCAGCTGCCTCGGGAGGCAGGGCCTGGCAAGAGGACAGGTTTCCTCGCGCGACTGGCACACAGGACGACCTGTGCTGGCCCGTGGTGAGGAGCTTGAACCTGAGCCGGACAGCGGGGGTCGAGCCCCGGCACCGCCCCTTCCCGGGGAGGAGCCTGAGCAGACGTCCTCTCCGCTCCCACCTGTAGTGGGCGCTGGCGGCCCCACCCTCACGGTCCCTGAGCCAATGGAGTTGCCACACTCAGGACACAGCCTCGCCCGTGACACGCTCTGACAAACGTGTCACATGGAGGCCCCCTCTGTGGAGCCACGGAAATCGCTGGTGACACTTTCCTTTCACCCCCGGTGACCTCCCCAGGCTCCCGGGGTGAAGGTCAAGGCGATGGGCAGGCTGCCTGTCCTCTCCTGGCTTTGCCACCTGCCCCTCCCCCAGCGGAAAGAAAGGAGCCGAATTCACACGAACTGCCCGGAGGCAGCCAAGCCCCTGGCCCTTGGGGCCGGGCGCCGACCCTGCACTCACCGTCCCGGTACCACTCGGCCCGGGGCTGCACCCTTTTCAGGTCCGGTGACACCAGCAGCGTGCACTTGAGCGTGACCGTCTCGCCTTCTCTTCGGAAGGTGACCCCGAATTTCTCCAAAAACTGGACGTCGAAGTGCGTGTAGGGGACGACGGACGATAAGGGCACTGGGCGGAGAGAGCGGGCGGTCAGAGGCCGGCCCCCCGGCCGTCGGGCCCAAGGCCCCCCAGGACCGAGAGGGACGCTGGGCCTGCCTCCCACGGCCACTGCGGGTCACCGGGGAGACGGGGGAGCGTCGGTGACCCGGGGCCCGTGGGCCGGGGGAGGGGCTCGGGGAGGGAGGGGACGCCCCAGCGAGCGACAGCAGGAGGCGGCGGCGCGGGTGTGTCCGTGCGCGGCAGGCGCGGCCCGTACGACCCGTACGGCGCAGGCGGCTGCCCTCCCAGAGGAGCAGGGGACCCCCCGAGACCAGGAAGACGGTCCCTGAGCACAGAACGCAGCAGCAGGCGTCTGCACTCCGGTCAAGGACGGAGAGTCCCGTTTGTCCCCGAATTCCAAACGGGAAGCGCCACCCGTGTCTCAGGCGCCGCCTCGGCGGCCTGGCCGCGGGGCCCAGCCGGTTGGAGCGTCGCCCCCTCACGCCAAGGTGGCGGGTGAGAAAGAAAAGTTTTAAACGCCGCCTCGCTCAGGACCAAGTGTCAGCAGACATGGAGACGGAAAACCAGGGAGAGCCCTCTGGACTTTTTAAAAAAAAATGACCGTAGAGAAACTTTTTTAATTATATGCTACATCGCTCTGTATGTCCCGGCCCAAAAAGGGAAGCCGCCGACTCACGTGCAATCGGGAGTCCCACGGAGTGCAGCGGCTCCTCCTCCCCTCGGAACCCTGCGGGGCGGCGGGCGAGCGCAGCTGTGAGCGCGGCGGGGCCGGGGCCGGGCACGAGCCCCCCCCCCCGCCCCGCCCCGCCCAGGGCACGGACTCACTTCTCACCACCACGGCCGCATTGGTGGACACCTGGCCGTGGACGTTCGTGGCCACCGCGGAGTAGGTTGCGGAGTCGTCAAAGTCGGCCCTGGGAGAGAAAACGCGGACTACATCCCGCACCCGCAGGCGGGCTGCTCTGGCAAAGCCCATGGCCCGGACTTGGACGCCCGCCGTCCTCGGAAGCAGCCACACCGCCCGGGTACATCGTTCAGGAGAGAGGTGCCTGAGAACAACGCCCGGCCTCTTCCCGGCCGCGACTCCACGCCCAGCCAACCGCCGCCCCCCAGAGTGGGCCTGCACCTCCCTCGGCGGCCCTGGCAACTGCAGGAAACAACGCCGCTGGAGACGCCCACCTCTGCCAATCGCTGTGAGGGGCCTGCGCACTGTTCGTTAAAACAGGCCCGCCCAGCTCCTGGACCAAAGCCCTCTCCTCCTCCCCCACCTTCTCACGCCAACGGCACCGCGCAGGCTCCTCGCCTGGCGCTGCGGGTTGCTGTCCTGGCTGGAGGGGACTCGCCCACGGCCCAGACAGCGGGACAGAGCTGGGCAGCAGGGCCGCCGCCGCCCAGCCAAGGCCCTGGACAGCTCCTCCCGGAGGGTTTCACCCTGGCTTTTCACTTGACTCGCAAATTGGATCTTGTTAACATCAGGCTGAGTGGCCTCACACTTCAGCACCGGCCGGCTCTCCAATTAGCACCTGGGCCCGGCGGGCGGACCAGCTGGGACAAGGGCCCGCCTGCCGGGAGAGCCGCGCCTCCGCTCCCAATTAGCACCTGGGCCCGGCCTTGCAGACCAGGCCACGGCCCCCGAATCTGCAGACCCGCCGCGTGACTGCGGCCAGCCGGCCCCACGGGTGTGACAGGGAAGCTGGACTCCTGGGGACGGTCCCTTTTCGCTCACTCTGTCTGTGTTTCTCTTTGTCACTGTTCACATGGCGTGGGGTATATTGGGATGGGCACACGTGTGACAAGCTCACCTCCGTGGACGAGGGGAGGGCCCACACGCCAGGCCCACACGCCAGCCCCGCACTGCGAGGCGGACAGCCAGAAGGCGCCCTGGGGCCAACTGAGCGGGGCACGCGGGCGGCCTGTGAGGACCCTGGCCCAGGGCGACACGGGGTCAGGACCTGGGCCCTCGTGCCTCACGGCGTCGCTGTACGGCCTGCACTCTCCCCCCCGCCCCAGGCCCCACGAGCCTTTACTCCACGCAGGCAAGTGACGCGGGCCCCCCTCCCGTCCCTGGGGCAGGCAGAGCCTTGTTTACAGACTCCCTCCCAGCCGGGGTCTCCCTGCGAAGAGCCCCAGACCAGCTCCACAGGACAAGCCTCCGACATTCTGTCCCTTTTAACGGTGGCAGGCTCATCCACGTGTCTCTGACTTTCTCCCGGGGAGTCTGGCCCCGTGTCCTCGGGCTGGATGCTGACGCTGGACTTAAAATTTCACTCAAGCTAGAATTTGAGTATCACAGTCTAAAAATAAAGCTCAGGAAGAGGGCTAGGCCGGCCGTCCTTCGGCAAGGGGGGGGCGGGACGAGGCCGATAGCGCGCAGGGGACACCGTCCGCAGCGCCCCGCGGACACGCCACGGCCGCGCTGACGCTCTGGAGAAGCGTGAGGCCCCCCGCGGGTCCCGAGAGGCCTGCGGGCGCAGGACAGCGGGCAGCTCGGCCCAAGTGCACGCGGCCCTGCGGCAGCCCCCGCCGCTCTCAGCGCTTCAGGAACGCGGCGGCCGGGGCCAGAGGACATTCCTAGGGACGCACGTCACCCCGTAACAGGAGGAGAGGCTCATTCCCGAGCAGCACACTCCGCCCTCCGGAGCCGCCGGGTCCGGTGACGGGGATCAGCACGTGGGCGCCGACAGCTGAGGCGGCCGCTCCCGGGCTCCCCGGCGGCGGCCCCGCAGGGTGGTCCCGCACAGCTAGGAGCGTCGTGGAGGGGCTCCCTCTGCCCGAGTCCCTGGGATACTGGCGGACGGTGCCAACCCCCGTGCTCGACGGGGGGCCCGGGCTCCGGCCCGCACCCCGTCCCGGCCCACGGCCCACCCCAGCGCGCAGGCCGCTTCTTCCCAGCCCGAGGAAGAGAAATGGCCGCTCCTGGTAAAGCGAGTATTGAACAGCAGCTTGGAGACACGTCACCAGCTGACGGGCACTGACCCACCCACCCCGACAGCCCCAGGCAGCTTGGAAAACACTCTCCAAAACGGAGACAAATACTGCCTCCCGGGCAGCGTGGCTGCGAAGGTGTCTACACACCACAGACGTTGAACGGCAAAGAACTACGCTGAAAAACGCAGCAAGGGGCCAGGGACCCCGGGTCCGCGGGGCGGGAGGAGACACCTGAGCTGGGCCCCCAGCCGCCTGACCCAGCGCACGGGGGCCCCGGACGGCAGGGTCTGGGCGGCTCCTGCCACACACACACCCCGTGTCCGACCCACCGGCCGGTCCACTCGGCTCTGCCCTGGGCTGGGTGCAGAGCCAGCCTTCCCGGGAGCCGCCTGGGCGGGGGCAGACCCACAGGCCCCCCACCCCCACCCCCGGCTGCCCTCTGCCCGCCCCTGGGCACACCAACCCTTCACAACCTAAGGCGGAGCTTGCGCTTCCCTGCTGGGCGGTCCCCCTTCACCTCGGAGGGAAAGCGGACGTCCCTGCACACGCCCAGGGTGCCCCAGGTGGCCCCAGGCCCCACCGGTGGCCCAGCCTCCTGCCCCGCGCCCACGGCCCGCAGCAGCCAGAGCCGGCTGATTCTCTGGACAACTCACCCTGATTGAGGCTTGGGGTTCGCCCCCCAACCTACGACTGACGCAAGACCCCAAGTCAGGGTCTCGGCCTGGGCCCCGGCTCCCCAGGGCCGGCAGGCGCTGGTTCTCCGCAGACGGCGCCGGTCCGGCCGCCAGGCCAGGGCGCCGGCGCCTCCGAAGAGCCTCGGGGTCCCCTGGGACCCCAGCCCAGCACCATCGGCGCCTCCGCACACCTGTCCTGATTACCCCGCAGGTGGGATCCAGGTTCCAGCAGGAAACCCAGCGAGGCCCCTGGGAGGCTGCACCTGGGGGCTGAGGGGAGGCAAGGTCACGCGGCGGGAGGAGGGACGCGGCTGAGGAGCAACGGCGCCCGCGGGGACGCGGCCGGGGCTGTGGGCGAGCGGGTGCCGGGAGGCTGGGCTTCCCCCAGGGGCCAAGCGGGGCCTGATGGGGACGCAGTCGCTGCCGCACACGCTGCTGACCCTACGCCAGACCTCACGCGGACAAGTGCCCTCCGGAGTCGCTCACACTGGCCTCCCCTCGTCTTTTCCTGGAAGGGACTGGCCGTCATCCACACACACAACAACGGCGTGTTTGTGAGAGATACAAAAACGTACATCACTTCGTCCTCCCAGTAACTCCACCTGCAGACGGAGGGGCGACGCCCTTACCACCTGACCCTGGATCGCGGCTTTCAGATGAAAGGGTGACGGTTCACGACGAGCTCCTGCCCGTGACCCAGGGTCACAGGTCAAGGGTAGGTCGGGGCCCCCACCCCAGCCACTGTTTCCTACACCGTGTGCACGTATGTTTTAATTATCGTGCATTAAGTAGCCAATTTTTGGAGAATGGGAATGTGTTTGTAAAATAAAGATAAGTTGAATAACCTACACTCTTTTAGAAAAAAAATAAAAACTGTACACAGAGCAACAGAAAAAAGAATCTCACTTTTAAAAATAAAAAACCAACGTCTGGGTACGTCCACACACGTGAGCCCCGTGTCAGGGAAAAGCCAAGCCGCACATGCGTCCCAACGCCGACCCTGAGCGCCCACAACGTGGGCCGTTTTTGTCTTCTTTTACTATCTGTACTTCCTACGTTTCTTCAGTTGCTTATGAGAAAAAAAAATCAGGTTACGTTTCTCTGAGGGGTCTGAGCTGAAGCCTCGGCCTGGTCCGAGGCGCAGGGGCCGCCGCGCGGGGCACACCCTCTCCCAACCCCTCGGTTCCCACCGCGCCGAGAACAGGCCAGAGCGGCGGCTGGACCTGCGAGCCTCTGGCCTGACCCCGAAGGCAGTGAAGGGAAGCTGGCACCACCCACATTAACGCAGACAGACCAGCAACGTTACGGGGCAGCGGCGGGCGCCATGCCAGGGCGTGGCCCCACCTTGACTTTCAGTGGAACCTCAGCTTTGGGAGGCAGAATGGCTGATGCAGGCGCTGCCAACGGCCCTCGCCTGTTGATCCCCAGCCAACACATGGCCCTCACCTGGGGGTGCCCAGCGCACGCACGCAGCCCTCACCTGTTGATCTCTAGCGTGTGCACACCGTACTTGCTCTCGATCCTGTACTTGCCAGGATCCGCCGCCTGGCAGATCAGGTTTCCGTCCTTGTACCTGGAGGAGGAGAAGTGGGTTCGGGTGGGGCAGGCGGGGACTGTGGCCCAGCCTCCCCACTGCCCCACCCCCGCACTGCTCTCTGTCACAGGCAGGGGGCAGCAGGGGACCCCAGCACCCACAGTCCTCGGCCTGTGAGGAGAGCGCAGCTCCGGCTGCGGCCCAACCGCCAGGGCTCCCGCGCGGGACAGCGCGCTCAGGGCCCGCCCCCCACAGGAAGCACACACAGCTGAGGTCGGCTGCTCCGGCCCAGCAGCGGGAGCACACGGGTCCGGCCGCCCTGGTCCTGGCTGCGGGCCGCTGGCCGCCTCGTCCCGCCCGCCCAGAACGGCAGGCTGTGTCCCAGGACCACGCGGGGGCTCTGAGACGTGACCCTGCACTGTCCCAGGGCTTGGTGAGGACACGCCGTGGCCCCAGGGCCTGCAGTTCAGTCCCCAGCGAACAGTCTCCGTGGGGCTGAGAACAGCCCCTGAACGCAGGTCACTCAGAGTCAAAGTCCTCTGGCCACCTGGCTGTGCCCCCGCGCTGTGGCCAAGGGCCGGGGCATGTTCCCGTCGGATGCTGCGAGGTTTTGGGGTTTTTTTTATTATCTTCCTACGAGTTTTAGAAACGTGGTTCCAAGCTCGGCCGTGGGATGCGCGTGCCCACTGCACCCCCCAGGGGAGCCCGGTGGCTCCACAAGCGAGGCAGCGCGGTCCCGTGGGGCCAGGACTCACCACTGCACCACCGGCGTGGGGTAGCCCTGCACGGTGAAGCAGAGCTTCACAGGCATCCTCTCCCAGACCGTGTGGGAGCGCAGCCGCACCAGGATCTCGGGGGCCCTCCTCGTCCGCTCCACGAAGGTGTCCTGCTCCTTCCGCCAGGCCAGCTTGTCCTCCACCTGCCGCAGGAAGCCGGACGGTCCGTGCGCGGCAGAGAGGCCGCGCTTCGTGGGCAAGCGGGCCTCCGCCGTGAGCCCACCGGGACGTCGTGCGGATGGACACGCCCCAACCCGGCCCTCCGCCCCCGGTCCGGGCCGCCAGGCCTCCTACCATCTGCTGGATGGCGTACTTGTCCAGCACCTCCCGGGCCTGGCTGCGCACCAGGTGCACGTTCTCCTCCAGGTCGGCCAGCTCCCCGAGGAAGCGCTGCCGCTTGGTCTCCGCATAGGAAGCCAGCAGCGACTGGTACCTGCAGGAACGAAGGGACACTGTTGTCACGACCCCAGGACAGGGCGCGGTCACTGGGGGCGGGCGCCCTCTTGGCCTGCGTCTTCCTTCCGAGGGTGCTCGGGAGCTGCGCTGAGGCCCCGCGAGCGGGTGTGGAGAAGGGCGGGGACGCGCTTTGTAAGTGACAAGTTTTGTTAGAGAGCTCCGCCCTTCCTTTGACAATCAAAGTCTTCGGGAACCCACACTGCGCTTTGGACGAGGGGGGTGAGCGGACACCTGGGGGGGGGGGCGTAGTCTGCTCCTAGTGTTTGTGCAAGAAGTGCCTCCACGTGGGGGCGGCAGCGACCAGCGGGCCCGGGGCTCGGTCAGAAGGGGACGCCTCGCTCGCGCCCCGCGCCGCGCACGCGCAGCAGCAGCTGCTCCGTGCGGCCCAGTCGGCACAACAGCAGCCACGCGGTCGCCGGGCAGGCGTCCCCTTCTGAGCGCAGCCAAGATGAAATCAGACTTTTTAACTAACAGACAGAAATACGTCTGCATTCTAGGAAAATAAAAAGGTGAAAAAACAAGTCAGCCCGGCGCCTGCGCTCCCCTCCTGACCTGTGCCCCCATGGGGTACGCCGGGACGCCGTGACCCCTGACCCCTGACCCCAGGCGGGACGCGCCGGGACACCGTGACCCCAGGCGGCCTTCGGGGACCACCGCGTACCTGCCCCTGTTCTCCAGCTCGTGCTCCTCCTGCTCAGAGCTGACCCGCTTGGCGCAGAGCCGGCAGAGGGTGCCTCCCGCCGACAGCGAGGCCTGGCCGGCCGCTCGCTGGGAGGACGCCGCCTGCGTCAGGGATCGCTGGGAGGACGCCGCCTGCGTGAGGGATCGCTGGGAGGACGCCTGCGTCGATGTGCGCCTGCCGGGCGTTCAAACGTGGGGCACGTTAGAAGCTTTGGGAACGTGTCGCCACGGCCGCCCTCGCAACAGACACGCAGTCACATGCACGCGGGCGTGCACATCCGTCCGTGCACACAGGACACGCCTGTGCAGGCTCCCGTGTGTGCATGTGTGCAACACACCCGCACGTGCACCTGTGTGCACATCCATGTACACAGGGCGCACGTATGCGGGCTCACGTGTGTACATGAACCCATGTGAGTGCACACGTGCACGCGTGTGCACAGACGCACGCCCATGCACACAGTGTGCACGCACACACATCCACACATAGGTGCGCACACAAAGCCCACGTCCCTCTGCACCCCGGCGCCGCCTAGCGCAGGCCGGTCCGCAGGGGGCGCTGGCACACCAAGCGCCTGCACCCTGGTCCCCGCCCCCAACCCCCGCGCCGAGGCAGCTGGCGCTGCCCACAGCGCTGGCCCGGGGCCACGAGTGTATATATATCTGAAGGGATTCCAGGCTTCTGAGGCCGCCGGGAGGGGCTGCGGGTGTTTGGCTTTGTTACCAGGATGGCAACGAAACTCAACTCGAGGACCCGGGCACTTCTAAATATAGAAATGCCCGCCGCACGGGCACCAGCATCTTCGCGCCTCCACTCCACTGGCTCACCGGCCGCTAATGCTGTGGACACGCTGTCCCGGGCCTGAGCTGCAGGTCCCCGAGGAGACACTCCCGGAAGGAGATGTGGCTTGACCCCAATCCCGGGACTTGGAGAATCAGTTCACTTCTTGCTACATTTCCCACTAACATAGCGAAGTTGTTATTGAATCAGCCTCCACCGATCTTTCCTTTCTTATTCCATAGTTTCTGTCCCAATGACATCTTTCCCTTCCCTTCCCATCCCCCTCGCTTTTTGGTGACTTCTTGAATTCCTTAAATTAAGCTCCAGCTCTGGCAGTTGTGCAAAGAAGACTCAGGTGGATGGGCACTGACTAAGAAGTCCCCACCCCCTCTGCCGGCACCCGGGGCTCCGAGGCCATTCACCGGGGCCCCCAGGGTCCAGCAGGGCGCTCGGCAGCACGCCCCTCAAAGTGTGCCACCCAGCAGGGCACCCGCAGCCCCCTCCGGCCAGGAAGACGGCATCAAGGGGCACTGCCATCCCGCACCCCCCGAACGGGCCTGTCCAGGTCTCAGGGGCCCGTAAGCGCCGGACGCCCATTGTCGCAGCTCTGTGGGTCCCGTCGGTGAATTCCAACTTACTTTTTCGCCGCATATTCGTTCAGAAGGTACCGGGTCTGAGTGTTGCGATACGACTGGTCGAAGTGTCTGTGTCTCTTTTGGTAGAAGGGCACAGCGACGAGGGACATCGTGGGGCACGTCTGCGCCTGGAGAGGAACGAGCGGGCTGAGGCCCCTCCGGGGCGCGGCCCTGCGGGCGCTGCCTGGCTCCGTGCGCTGCCGCGATGGGGAGCTCAGCGCCCCTCGGCGAGGGCCCGGGGCAGGGCGGGCCGGTCTCACACGGGGCCCGGCTCCATTTTTTATTTGCTTCCCTACAATTAGACGATCGGGCTCCGCGTTCCATTGGATCGTGAGCACAACGAACATTTATAGAATGCCTCGTGTGTCCCAGGACAAAAATAATCCAAGCACAGATTAGCGACGCGAACACGCACTTAGGACTCGAGAGCAAAGAGATACGCAGGGTTCTGGGACGTGAGAAGGGGCGTGTGCCGCCGGACGGGGTCAGCGGGCCCCTGCGGACAGGCGGAGCTGGGGCGGCAGGCGGGGCGCCCCACGAGCACAGGCCGGAGGCTGGGGCTCAGAGGTTTGAGGACGCGTGAGCCGGAACCCCTCTAGGATGACCGACTGTGCGCAGCGCCCTCCCGCGTCGGCCCTGGGAGCTGGCAGTCGCCCGCGCCCAAAAGGGGGCTTGAGGAAAGGAACCCATCCCCAGGAAGCCTTCCAGCCCTTCCTCCGAAGCCGCACGTCCCTCGCCACCCGCAGCCCTGCTTGGTCAGGACAGGCTGGGGGCAGGCGGTGAGGGGGGGTGGGAGGAGTGAGCATGTTTTGGTTAAATTCTCCCAAAACAAGATGCAGTTGGGCTCCGTCTGGGAGGGGATCCGGGAGTTGAAAATAGTGCACAGATGTGATGTGCCACTTCTTGCCTTCATTCCCCCAAAATAAGTCAAACGCCCACCTACCAGGTTGTTTGGCTGTCTCTAAAAAGACTGCATCCCTGCACCTCTGTGATGGTTAATGTCTCAAATAAAAAGCAAAAGAACTCCTCCAAACCTGAGCTCCAGCCTTGCCGCTGGTGTTCGACTTAAAATAACCTGCCCTGAGCTAGAGCCGGACGTCTGGGGCCCGAGGGGCGCGACCCACCCGCAGCACAGGCTGGAGACCAGCGGCCGGCGCTGCCCTGGGAGGGACGGTCTCCTGCCTCCCACTCCCTGGGGTGCAGACGTCCAGGGGCGCCTTAGGAAACCTCCCGAAACGCACTGCGGGCTCCAGCTGCCCTCAGAACCAGCCTCCTCTGGGCCGCGAGGCCCCCGAGCCAGAGGTTCGGCGCTCGGCCAGGCCGGCAGGGACAGTCCGGACTCCGTGCTCCGGGCGGGGGCGGCCGGAGAGGGGGTGGTCTCCCCAGGACACAGAGGAAGGGCTGCCCCCGAGAAGAGACCGTCCGGCCTCTGCCTCCGGACCGTTCGCCCTGCCCCACGGCGACCCATCTCAGCCCTTCCTCTGAAAAGCCAGCCCACCCACCCGGCACCACACCCCCACCGAGGGGCCGGGCGCGGCCGCACGCTGCTGGCCCGAGGCTGATTACAAATAGAGCGCAGAACCGCCTCCGCAGTGGGGCGCCCCGCGCCAAGGTCAAGGTCGGGCACGCGGGGTGGGACGTCCGACGGCCCGGGACCAGGCCTGGCGGCGGCACTGCTCCTCTGTCTCCCGCTGGCGTCCGCGAAGGTGCGCGTGCTTGGCAGCTGCCGTCGCTGTGGCGACCTGCCCCTGCGGTCCTGGAGCTCACCCTCCAAGGATCGGGAAAAGCGCCTCTGGCACTTTAGGCTGTGGGATCCCACCGGCCCAGAAGTGGGGTCCCAAGGTTTCTTCAGGGGGCGGACGTCGCACCCGCCCACGGCGCTGGCGAGGCTCACGGACCTGCAGTCAGACCGTGTGGGGGGACGCGTTTCGCCCCTTTGGGCCGGTTTCCTCTCGGGGATTTACCCATCGCACCTGTGCTGTCGGGGGAGACCCTCCCACCGCGGAAGTGCAGCCCCCCAACCATCGGGGTCGGCTCCTGCCACCAGGTTCACGGAACCGTCACATCTGTTTGTGTTTCCTGGCAGAAGGAAGAGCCCAAAACCGGCCGAGGTGACAGAGAGGAACACGATCGGGACAGGCCTGCGCTGGGGCCCAGCGCCCCCCGGAGAGGTGGTCCGCGGCCCGCTCCCTGCCCGGGCCCCGGGTCCTGTCCGGCGCCCTGGGCGCCCGCACGCTGCCTCCAGACCCCGCGGCTGAGCCCCCCACGACCCCGTCCCCAGTCACCTCCCGTCCTCGGCTCCCTGACCACCCATCGTGCCGTTCGAGGACTCTGCTCCCCCGTGGGTCGCTCTACAGGCTCATGGGGCCCAGAACTGCGGCACCCCCAGACGAGGGCCCTCTGAGCGCCCCGGGACGGCAACCTTGTCCCCACGCCAAAGTGTCCTCCACGCCACCGGCTGGCACTCACTTTGATCAACCTCGCGCCCAATCCAGCCGCCGCGGCAGGACCTGGCAGCCCGGACCCACTCCTAGGCCCCGCCCTCCCGGCCTCCGCGGACCCGGCACGGCGCACCTCAGCCCTCGAGTCACTAGGCCGCCCGCCGGGAGGGACCACGGGGAGAACGGACCGAACTCGCTGAGCCACGGACGACGCCAGAAAGAAAGGGGAGCAGCGGGGCCAAGCAGCAGCCGGAAGCCCTCAGGTCCCCCAGGGAGAGCGTCTCTCCGACCCGCGTCCGCCCCCGCTCACCCCGCAGAGCGCGGACGGCAGGCCTCCCGTGCCCACGGCGCCGGGCGCGCGTCCCCGCAAACCAGGGCCCGGGAGGCTGGGGTCCAGCCGCGGCCAGGTGACTCAGCTCCCCCGCTGAGGGGACCTGGCCCTGCCTGAAAACATCGGGGGCGACGCTCCACGGCGGCGCCGATTCGCTCAGACCCCGGGGACGGGGCCAGAGGCAGGCCAAGCGCGCGGACTCCGGGGTGTGGGGGTGTTTTCCAGCCAATTGTGACCTGTTTCACACAACTCGACCGTGCGTGGTCGCGCTCATGGCATCTCGGCCTTGCCCATGAGGAAAACAACGTGCCCAGGTCGCCGGTTTCCCTGGGACGCTGGCGCTGGCCACCCCCCCCGCCCCCACCCCCGCCCCCGGCCACTCCTGACACGGTTGGGCTTTACGGCAGCAAAGTGCAACGTGAGCCTGTCTTCATGTTCCGGGCACGGTATGTCTGTGACGTGCCCAGGCCTAATCCCTCCCTGAGAAGACTATTCGGATGGGGCTGAGAAGACTGTAAGGCTGTCGATGCCCGGAAACATTTCGACCGCCACGCATTCCCTCCTGTTTAACAAAGAAACCGGTGCCGGTGCAGCTGAAAACGTCAGTCAGCACAGCCGCTGGATCAAAGCCCTTCTAGGGGACAGAAAGGGCTGGCGGGCCCCACAGCGCCCCCCCGGGAACCAGGCCCCCGCTCCCAGGGCAGGGCTCGCTGGGGCGCGTGCCCATGGGGAGCTCAGCACCAGAAGTAAAGACACGGAGCACAAGGCAAGTCTTAGGAATCGTCCCCTGTGGCCGGTCCGGGGGCCTGGTGCCTGATGTCTGGCAGCCCCCCGCACCGGCCCACCCCCAAATCACCGTCAGAGCCGGGCCGGTCGCAGCCCAGGGGCTGCCGGACCCCGAGCTCCACGCGGCCCCCAGCTGCCCGGCTCCCGAGGGCCTGGCCCGCGCTCGGGCTTAACAAGATCAACCAGATCAAGGAGCGAGGTGGCGCCCGGCTTCCCGGGTGGAGAGCGTCCCAGCGACCAGCTGGCCTCCCAAATTGACGGCATTAAAGAGAGATCAACAGCTATGCCTCTGGTTCCTTCCTGAAGCTGCCCCCACGGCGGCGCCTTGTCTTTGTGAGGAGCAGCCCCGGAAGCGAGGGGCCCCCCGATCACCGTCAGCTTCAGGCAATTGCTGCGGAGGCAGCCCAGGCTTGCTCCCCGAAGGCCTGGGGGTCACCTTTGCTCCACGCGCCCGACTCGGCTCAGTGAGAAGGAGCACGGGGCCGGGAGGGAGGGGCGGGAGCCTCCCCACCCCCACCAGTGCGCAGGGGGACCCCTGCCTCTTTCTGGCAGAGCCCCCGCAGTGCCAGGGAGGCCGGCTCTCCGGGGCCTGGCCGGGCGGCTGCCGGGTCAGCAGAAAACAGCCACGAGGACCCCCCCCTTCTGGGGGGGCCCGGGCACTGACGAGCAGCGTCGTCCTCTCTCCGTCCCCGCGACTGCACAGGCCAGGGCTGCGGCTCGTGACCCCAGGTCCTCGTTTTCTTAAGAAAACGCCCCGACGGTACGTCCCACCTCTGCTCGCCCGCACTCTCGCCACAGGCCCGGCCCTTGCGAGACCCAGAAAGCGGCGGGCGCCAGTCATGGGCCGGGGCGCGGAGGGGAGCGCCCAGCATCGGGGTCCCCGCGCCGCGCGGCCAGGGGGGCCGGGAAAGCGTCCCGGCAACGTCCCCGACCATGGGGACTGAGGAAACGCAGAGGCCAGGTCTGGCTTGCCCTGTGCGGGTCGGCCCCTCTGCACCCAGAGCCGGGCGCGCGGGAAGCCCAGGGGCAGCCGCCCCGCACGCCGCCCCCCGCCCCCGCCCCCCGCCCCGGCTCGGCTGGGCGAAGGGGAGTCGGACACTCACCGAGAGGACAGGGCAGCAGTGAAGGGGCGGCAGAGCCCAGCTCTTGGGCAGAGCCTGTCCCGTCCCATTTATGGCCAAGGGGCTGCTATATATAGACCCGTGGCTCTCGCCCAAACGGACACGCACGCCGTAAATCACAGCCTATCTTGGGAGGAAACCGGTCCTATTCCAGCCGGGAAAGCCGCTTCGCAGAGTGGAAGTCACGACGCGCTCTTTCTTTGCCCGGGGGACGGCGGCTACTCCGCGGGGGCCCGTGAGCGGCCCCGGGCACTGATGGGGCCCCCGCGCATGGGCTTTTCCACAGAAGTTCTCAGGCTCCCCGCCAGCCCCTGCGAGCCCCGCGCTCCCGGGCTCGCGTGCGGACACGTGCCGACGGCCTCCTGCAGCAGCCGGGCCCCGGGGCCGCGTGGCCGCCGGCTGCGTGAGGGCGCGGGACCGCAGGCCTGGGGAAGGGCGGGGGCTCTGCGGCGCGTTCTCCTGTGTTTGTTTCTAACGTCAAAAGCGACTCAGGCCCTCGCCCGGCTCCGCCCTGGGGTGAATTCAGCGCGGCGGGCCTGCCTCAAAGGGGACCCGGGCCTCGCCGGCAAATGACATCTTATTTATAGTTGCGGCCTCGGTGCATCTAAACCCCCAGATGACTGAGGGGCATCGCTCATTTTGCACGGCACACGTCCAGATATAAATAACACGGGGCTGGCACGGCTGCGGGCTGGACCCTGGCACGTGTGGCCCAGAGGAGGGGCCCGGGGACGGCCCCCGGTCCCAGAGGGCTCCCACGCTGTGCAGCTCACCACCGGGAGGCAGCGGGTCGCCTCCAGAGGGCGCTGTTTCCTCACCTGTAGAACCTGTGCCATAACAACTCTCTGGTTAAGTTTGTTGCAAAAACTAGAGGAAGTGATCTATAGGAAGTTCCCCAGAGCCTTAAAAACATCTTATCGCTCCTTTATCAGAAACACAGCCAGGGACCCGCAAAGTGGCGGCAAAGGAGGCCACTAAACGCCTGTTATAAGGGAAACGGCATCGGCGTTCGCCTCTGAGTGTCCCCCGCGTGCTTCCTCCGGGCGACAGGTTTTTGTCCCATCAATTCCCCTGCTGCCCAGAGGGCCTGGCGGTTAATCTACAAATGCCGAGTGGGAGGAAATAAACCGCGGCTGACGCGGGGCTTCCGTTCGCCGGCGTCCGGCCCACGGGAGCCCCGCCCCCTTCCCTGAGGCCCACGATGCGGAAGGGACGAGGACGATGCCGGTCTGCTGTCCAGCAGCGGCTGGGTCTTCCAGGCCAGGTCCTGGCTTCTCCTGAGAACACAATCTGCCTCTCGGGCAGGGGAGTCCTCTGAGGGGACCCAGAGGCCACCAGCTCCTCACCCTCGTGAGGTGTGGGGACCGCTCTGTCCCCTGACACAGGAGGCCCGTCCCCCAGGACGTGGGGTCGGGGGCCCCGGGAGGCTCGGGCACGTCACTCGGCAGGCGCAGCCGGGACCGAGCCGGCCCCCGGCAGGCCCAGCGCCGTCGGGACGCGGCCCAGCAGGTGGAAGTTGCCCCGCGTTCTCTCAGGCCAGTGAGGCCTGTGAACCCACACACACGCAGGAGCTCGGCAGCCACGGAACTCAGGCCACAGGAACTGAAACGGCACCGTCCCGCTGCAACCGAATCGCTGGAAACCGCCAACCCGGGGGGAGCTCAGCAGCGAGACGAGGAGGAAGCCACGTGGCGTCCAAAGGAACAAAGACGCGGACGGCAGGAGGCTTTCTCATCAGAAAGGAGGCGCGCCTGCCCTGGCCAGTGCGGCTCAGCGGGTTGCGGCGGCGTCCCAGACGCCGGCAGGTCGTAGGTTCGCGGCCCGGGCAGGGCACAGGCCTGGGTTGCGGGGTCGACGGGTCAGGGTGCGGGCGAGAGGCAGCCAGCTGATGGTCCTCGCTCCTGTCCGTGCTCCTGTCTCTCCCCTCCCTTCCTTCTCCTCCCTCTAAAATCAATAAGCATGTCTTGGGTGAGGATTAAAGAAGAGAAAAGAAAAGAATGTAAACCAGAAAACACTATCCAAAAATAAATAAGTAAATAAAACGAAAAAACTGTTCCTACGGAAGGAAACTTTCAAAACGAAGATGGCACCGCCAGCCCCGTGGCGTGAGAGGAGACGCCGCCGCAGCCCCGCCCCCGCCCCGGTGAGAGCCGCTCAGCGCCGCTCCCTGGCTGTCCCCAGGCCCCGGATGACGTCACACTGTGCGGGGCTGTCGGGGGCAGACGCCCGGGCCGGGCTGGGCTTTCGCTCCAGCCGCCTCACCCCGCGGCTGAATGCCAGGCAGAGCCCACACTCACAAGTCCAACGTGAGGTCGGGCCTCTGCCCCGGTCCCCCCCGATCCGTGGTCACCCCCTCAGGCCCAGAGACTCGACCCTCCTTCCCCCCGGTGCCCACTGCCCGCCCCCCTCCATCCCTGCCGCCGACACCCTGTCCAAGCTGTGGGGGCCCCTGGCCTGGGACAGGCCTCTCTGTCCTCCTCGGCCGTGTCTCCTCCGAATAAATGTAAATCCACTCGGTCCCCCCCACCGCACCCCTTAAAGACACTTATGTCTTAAAATAAAGACAAACACACTGAACGCGGAAGCCCTCGTCCCGGCCAGTCAGCCCCCCCACCCCGGGTGCGTCCGGCTGCACCGGCCAGACCGCGGGCCCTGCCGCCCACAGCTCACGCAGCCCGCAAGGCGCCCTCGGCAGGCCTGTGCCCCTGCACGGAGGCAGCTGGCGGCCGCGCTGCCGAGCCCCCTCCGGCAGGAGCCGGGACCTGGGCAGTGACAACGCCATGCTCCCTCCCAAATGTCAAGGGGACAAGGGGACAAGGTGACTCAACACGTCTGTAAGGGAGCCAGAGTTTTTCCATGTTTTGAAAATCCCAGCCTGTCCTAGGAGACCTGGCAGCAGCAGGTGTCATGTGCGTGCTTGGCATGACCTCCGCGGACTTGCCTGCGGGGAGGGGACCCGGAGCCTGCCCCGCAGTAAGGGTGTCCTCCCGGCTGCCAAGGTCCCCCTGGGCCCGTGAGGGGACGCGAACGCCCTGGCAGGAAGGGCCTCTGAGGCGGGGGCGGCGGACGGGCCGGAGCGGAGGTCCCGGAGAGTCCGGAGAGGCAGCCTCCGTGAACGCCGAGGCGCAGGCGCAGCCTGGGCGCCGCAGTCTCGGCTGTGTGGAGGCCCTCCCTCGGTCAGCTTTGGGTTTTAATCCTCCCCTGAGGATGTGCTTTTATTGATTTGAGGGAGAGAAACACCGACGGATGGCCTCCGGCACGCGCCCCGACCGGGGTTCGAACCCGCGAGCCTTTGGGTGTGCAGGACGACGCGCCCACCAGCCACGCCTGCCGCCCGGGGCGACCATTCCTGCCCTGTAACAGTGCCTGGCATGTCGCGAAAGCTCGATAAATGCACTTTTTATTACACGTGGGCGGACGGCGTTTGTCCCCCAGGTGCTATTTACAGGTTTCTATTTACAGAGACGGCCCTAAGTTAACAGGCAGCCTCTCTCGGCAATGCCACTGAAGAGCCTCGCGAGGCCCCAGAGCGACATCCTGGCTGGGCCCCGGGCTGCGGCGAGGGCTCTGGTGCCGAGCCCGCCTCACGCTCGTGCCCCGGGGCAGCAGCTGCGTGACCCACAAGGGCCCCTCGCGGCCCCGGGCCTGGGCTTGAGGCGGGTCCGAGGGTCCCCGCCTGAGGCCCAGCGCACCACGATTTCACCCCTGGGCAGCGGGGCCCGGCGACAGGGCCTTCGTGCTCAGGGTCGGAGCTGCTGGCTCGGGGTCAGACCCAGGGCACGGGAACCGGAGCCCAGGCCGCCGTGCCGGCAGGGCTCTGTCCTAGCGGCGCTGAGAGGCCTCGAGATTACAGGCAGCGTCACGAGCCCTGAGCCTACGAGAACAGAGTGGTGGATGAAACAGAAATGGGGGGGCAGGCGGGGGGCAGGGCATCCTGTCCGGGACGGCAGCAGCTCGGCCGCGCCCCGAGCTGGGCGGGGGGGCCGTTCAGGGGAGAGAGGTCGGCCGAGGGCCACCCGCGCAGGCCTCTCAGAGCCGGACAGGACACCGCCTCACCCTGCCCCGCCCCCTCCGTTCACCCTGCCCAGGAGCAAACTGAGGCCCGACGCGGGGACAGCTGGCCAGGGTCACGGGGGGTTGCTGTGCAGCGGGTTTGAGCTCCCTCACGTGCGGAGTCTTTACCTTCAGGCCGCGGGGTTTCCCCTGCAGGGAGGGGCTGGTTCCCCCGGGGGGTGGGGTGTGCAGCCAGGGCAAGGGCAAGGGCAAGGGCAAGGGCAAGGGCAGGCCGGGTCCCGTTCAGCCCACGACTCAGGCCAAGCCCCGCTGGGCGCCCCAGCCGGCGAGTCACGGGTGGTGTCGCCGGCCAAGTCTGCTGAGACGCCGCCCCGAGCGAGCGCCTCGCAGCGGGCGCGGGGTCGCGGCCTCCGAGGCACAGGGAGGCCAGCCGGAAGCGGCAGTGGAACCCGCGGTGCCCGGCCGCTCTCCCCCTCACAGGGGCGGGGCATCCTCGCCCCCAGGGGCAGGCACAGTGGGGAGCGGGGCTCAGGAACCGACCGGCCGGACACTCGCTCTGCCTGGAACAGTGTCTGAGCCGGCGCGGTGGGGGTGTCCCCGCCCATGCGCAGGACGCGGGTCCCGGGTGCCCCGAGACGTGGAGAGCGCCGGCCCTCACGCCGCGGACGGGGGCCCCGCTCCCCAAGTCCAACCGGAGCCGGGGCTTCAGCCGACCTGGGGACACAGAGGAGGGGTTTTCCTCTGCAGGGAAACCCACGGCCGAGGCCACACTCGCCTGTCGCCACAGATGGGTGCGCGTTCCCCGGCCCCTCCGGCTGGGGCGGCGCCCGCCCGCCTCTGGGCCGCCCACCCTCCCGTCCTTTCTCAGGCCCCGGGGGGCCGTCCAGTCTGGTTGCTGCCCGGGGTCGCACCATCGCGGCACCTGCTCCCCACGGCCCCACCGCCACCTGCCGGGGGGCGAGCAGGGACCTGGCCCACCGCCGGCTCCCAGTGCGCCTGCCAGGCCACGGGCACCCAGGACCGACCGG